TCTGCCGATGGTGCTATGCATGGGCGGCAGAGAAATTTCCAGCCTGCTGGACAGGAGTACCAACACATATGTATCTCTTTCACTATGCATGCACATGTACGGAGTATAGCTGTATACGTGAGTATACATATGTATATCCATGCATCTAGTCCTTTTTTTTTTTTTTTTTTTTTTTTTTTTATTTCATTTTATAGGTTATCCCAGTCTTAGGCAGAAATCGGACGGATGGGAATTTACACGTGGAGGCGAGACCCTTCCTCCACGTGTTGCAGGATTTTCTAGAAAGATGGAAGGAATATTCGTTTGTTGTTCTTTTTCTCCTCGATCCTAGTTTGGGTACTCGACTCAAAGAACCGGCACAGGCCAAGGTCCTCCTTGGTGAAAGATGCGCGATTATTGCCCTGTCAAGGCTGGTTGGCCTTACGATGCTGACAGCCGAAATTATGATGGATGCAATAACCCTGTAGTTCCATTTTTATGAAAAGGAGATATATGCACTCAACCATTATTATTGCGCATATAGATGTATGAACATGACATAACCTCAAAAGTATGGATGGAGTCGTATCACCCACATTTCCCCGTAGCCCTACCATCGACGCCCATAGATGGGGTCCTCCCTCTTTGAGCCGGCGCTCGCCTTGCGCTCCATAACCGGCGGCGTGGCTCGCTTCCCGCTCCCCCCTTTCCCATAGCCACCGGCTGTCTGAGCCTGATAGCCTGTCGCCATCTCCTTCGAGTCAAGAAGCTTATTACTTTTTGTCGTAAAGCTTAACTTGCCATCGTCCCATGACCGTGACTCCGCATCTCGACCAAAAAGGGCCAACATATCTTTCATTGTCAGCTTGCCAGCCGCAGATTTACCCTCAATAGTAGACTTGGCTAGTTCGCGCTTGCGTTCTTGGAGCTCAAGGATACGCTCCTCCACCGTGCCCTTGATTGTCAACTTGTACACTTTGACATCAACCGTTTGGTTAAGGCGGTGGACACGGTCGATGGCCTGTTCTTCCACAAACTACAAAACGATGATAACGTTAGGCTTGGGGCAATTCTAAGAATAGAAGTATGGGGTTGTCAGGACACATAAACTTACTGGGTTCCAGAAAGGCTCGAGGATCACGACTCTGCTTGCGGCCGTTAGGTTCAGCCCCAATGATCCTGCGCGTAAACTACAAAGTAGTACTCGGGTGCCGCTTGAGTTCCGGAGTCGGTTCAAACTCGCTTCTCGGAGGTCGTTTCTCATACCGCCGTCGTATCGGGCATAACCGATACCTCCGTTTTTCAGGAAGGGCTCGATTTTATCAAGCATAGAGGTAAAAACTGAAAAGACAATGAACTTGAACTGACCGGATTCTCGTTTGAGAACCCTCATTAGATGTCGTATTTTGGCCGAGGTCTGGACATCATGGATGACATTGGGCATGGGCTGAGATAAACCAGCCTCGTCTTCATCCTCATCCTCGTCGGTTGCTAACTCAGTGGCATCTTCCTCATCCTCATCCTCATCCTCATCGTCATCCGTGCCAGAATCCTCAGATCCAATCCACTCCCCTCCCCCGTCAGCATCTTCGCCGTCAGATCCCACAGGGGCGGTAAGGTTTTCAGAGCCACGTTGTTCCTCGGGAACAAGCCATTCTCCATCCTCATCCTCATCGTCACTATCAATAATAATAGGTCTGGCCCGGCGGTTCCTTGCTCGCTGGGACTCTTTCTCCACTTTGGCTTCCACGGGCTCTGGCTTTGACCTTGCCTTAGTGTTCTTTTTCTTGTGCTTGGGCTGTTTCCTCGTAACGACCGTGCTGATAACTTGGGCCTTCAAGTCTTCTTCGCATTCACCACAGCGAGCCGCGCCACCAAGGGTTTCGTCCTTGCTCAACTCAATCTGACACACATCACATCTCTTAGTAGCCATGCTCAGCCCACCGAGCATATCGGCAATGTTGTCAATATCATTGTCCTTATTCTTGCCCTGGGTATCATCACCCATCAGGGCATCTTGCTCTTTGGCAAGTTCGCCCTTGACTAGGTCAGGATGGTTACAGGCCTGACGCAGCCTGAGAAGCAAAACCAATGCTCCAGCATAGCTTATATTCTGACCACCAATCATTCGCTCTAAGCTTCTGTCCGCACGTTGTTCGAGTCTCTGGTAGAATGCCCATTCTTCGGGACTAAACTCAGCCTCGATCTTAACGATGTCTCGCTTGACAATTTTGAAGCCTTCAGAGGGCCTTTGCTTTTGGTCACTACTCAGTTCCTCCTCATTGGAGTCCTCAATGTCTGGTTTTGAATCCAGTTTTAAAACATCCTTTGTACGTCTCTTCATGAATGCTTTGAGGTATACTTGTAGACGGCGAAGTGCCAACCCACCCCGGCCATTGCTCATGGGCCGAGTTATTTGTTCTCTCCAAGCAGCCAACTCGTCATACGGCTTGATCCGTAAGAATCTGATCAAGCTTTGTAACTCGTCCAGGTTATTCTGCAGTGGAGTTCCAGTAAGACACCATCTATATTGTGAATTTAATGCATAGACGGCTTGTGTGGCTTTGGCATTTCGATTCTTAATTGTGTGTGCTTCATCTAGCACAATCCGATACCAGTGGACCCCGAAACATCCATCGCTTTTCCCGTGCTCAGAACTGAGTGTTCCGTATGTTGTAATCACAACGTCAAAGCTGTCCAGGTCATCCCTGTGTTTTGTGCGCCCAGTGCCGTGATATACGCAAACACTTAAACGGTGAGATCGCTCGATTTTAGATTCAATCTCGCTTTCCCATTGCTTTATCAAGGCAAGAGGAGCTACAACAAGTGTGCTTTTCGAGACATTTGCAGGTATCTTGGATTTATCCTTCTTCTCCTTCCCTTTCTCAAATATTTCTTCCTTACCCTCCGGCTTCACTGGGGGCCGGGGGTTAGTGAGTAGTAATGCGATGGTCTGAACAGTCTTACCAAGACCCATGTCATCAGCAAGAATACCGCCTTTCGGCAGCACGCCTCTAGTCTTTTTAAGCCCACTCTCTTTATCCTTCATCCATGCCACTCCGTCGATCTGATGAGGTAAAAGCTTGACCTTCAAACCTTCCACGCTTCCATCATCTTCTTCTTCCTCTTCCTCTTCCTCGACTTCTTTATCTCCTGATTTTTCGTTGTCACCGTTCTCATCCACCTTGACTCCCATGAGCTTGTCTGCTAGTTCATCAACTTGCTTTTCAATCTTTTTCTTGCGTGACCTTGTCCGAGGCTTATCATCTTCATCCTCAAACGCGCCCTCAAGCAATGCTTTGATATTTTCGTTGGCTTTCTCGCTGTCAATGTAGGAATATGCGTCTGCCGAGCCAACTATTTCATCTCGAAAACTGTTGTTGCTGCTTCCATATCCAACATCAGGCGTGGTAAGGTCCATGAAATTCTTTAGCGTGCTGGCTGACTTGCCCATTTTTGGGGCTGATGGTTTTGAGGTGAACATTGGCTCTGGTGTCCGCCAAGTAGTCCGATCAGCATTCATAGGCTTCATTATTTCTACCACACTATCATCGTCAGGTATTGTTATGGTAGAACGGCTTTTGAAAGAAGATGGCTTCGTAGCCTGGTATGGATTGAACGCTCGCTTATCGTTTTCTTTTGATGCGTTATCATTCAAAGTCGAGCTAGGCGCGGGACGGTGATGTTCAGGACGAGGTCTGTTGCTTTTTGGAATCACAAATGGATGACGCTGGTTTGCACTCATAGACCCAAGCGGTGACGGCCTTCCAAACTCTACTTGCTTCGGGGGCTGTGTCTTCTTTCCTTCCACTCCGGGGATGGAGGGGATCTTTGGAGGCTCCCGCTCTTTCACCATCTTATATTCCGGTCAAGTTATAAGTAAATATCAATCACGACTTATCGTGGTCTACCTCCCTATTGGAATGTTAGATTCTGATTTTTTTTGTTGCTTAGATTTTAATATGGCTCACCTTCAGTCTATTATAACCATGCAATATTATGGGATTGCGGGAATCTGATGCGAGATCAAAGACAAAATAACATTCACGCCAACAACCAAGATAAAAAAATAGTTACTATCATGGCCTTGAATGCGCAGTGAAATGTCGTCGTCCTTTGATCGACGTCGTTTTGCCCCCTCGTGAAAATAACAATAAACGTTTTTCTTATCGATAACTGTCCTGGCAACCAGGCCAGCCTTAAACAGTCTAGCGTGTCAACTGCTTAGTAATTGGCACTTGATGTATCACGTACACGAGTCTCGGGTCGCTCCAACCTTCCCATCAACCTCAACCTCAGGCACCGTCAGCGGCTAACTGCTGCTTGCCAGACATTGTTTCATTGTTTAATATCAAGATACCCTAAACAGCGTCTTCTCGCTGCTTCTGTTTGCTCCTCTGGCCCAGAATCATTCCGCTTAATAACCGATGTATAGGCTATCTTGGATGGTGTCTACCTACGTTGGTGATTTTCGTCGTATAGACGAGAACCCGGAATTAAAACAGGGATGAAGAGAATGAAGCAAAAGGGAGGATTAAAGCATTATATGATGATGGGGTGCCGTTCTTCTCGAAGGAACCTATACGAGACATCTACCAACAGCTAAATGGAGACGTACCTTCAAGCCATGAAATAAAAATCAAAGGAGCCGACGGGGTGATTGTTGAATTTGAACTGAAGTCTGATCAGGTAGTTGAGTCAGATGATGCTGAGTTGGAATTTTTTTTGTAGGTTCATTATGTGATTATGTTTTGTGATAACCGTGACTTACATGGAGGTAGAACAAAAGCTGGCATTGACTATATGTTGCCATTTCTTCTCATGCATTTATCTACGTCACGATGATTTAGCTTATTGCAGTATGGTGATATATCATACCCACGTCTTGCGGAATAAATATTCCAAGGAACTTATCGTATCCCCGAATACATCATCCATTGTTACTGTTTCTGCATTCTTTGAGAAGTACTTAGAGGCATGAGAGTTCAGCAAAATATGCCTCTTAAGTAACTTTGGACAGGATGGCATTCCCTGCGAATTTTAAGATCGATAAAATTATTGCATTTGCATGTGGTCGAATTGCTCAGACTTTGGAAGACCGGCCAAGCCCTTGGGCAGATATTATTAAGCGACGGGTATCGCATCAGCACAGGTTGATATGGACACGAAAAGCTTTGAGCAAGTGGATAGGCGTTCGAGGTATTCAGCGCTTTACACAGGATCCTGCATACACTACCATTGATTCTGAACTTCTCAAAATGCACGGAATCACCACAATCCACGATCCTAAAGGTTTCCTTATGATTGACAATCCTACCCTGGTGATCTCAATGGCGCCAAATATGCTTGTGAAAGAAATAATCGCACATATTGCACAACCGGCCATGATTGTATGGGATATTGATAATGAAGAAAACATATTTGGTAAAAAAACCCTACCTCCCTCTCGGGCTATAGCTAATATATCTTCGGCCGCGTGCTAAAACAAGTCTAGTACGGATCTAAGATCCTCGCGAGTCAACGAATTGCTCAATAGTTCCTATTCTAGAACCGAATTCACTCAAGTTCCAGATAACTTCAGAGATATGGTAATATATACATAGCTAGGCTTATAGAATATAACCAACAAAGTGGTTGGCTGGAATGCCCACCGCAAGTGAATATTCATGACACACTACATAGCTGCATCGGACAAGCTGTTAGTGAGAATATTTACGGTAAGTGCGGAAACACCGAGGGCCTCTTTGCCTACATCATGCTCAACAAGAGACCTTCCACGACGATTGGTAACCTGTTACCGACCACTACCTCGTCGATTAGTAGCACTCATTTCGAATTCTTATACTAAATTATAATTAATGGCTGTTACTGTTATCATTTCACTAACAACTAGACATTACGCTTGACTAACGCCTGGACCCCCTGTCTTGTGTCATCTTTCACCCAGGCTGTTAGCAAAGGATTCGCGCACCGTCCACGGAAGCACGGCTGTCACGATCTATCATCAACAGGTATTAAAATGTTGACATACACCAGCTGGCCCGAGTTTAGGGCTGGCTCTTGAGGCTGGGCCCAGCCTCTCTAGTTAGTTAAACTGTTGAATGTCAGAGTGGTTGGCTTTCGATAACTACCCCGATGAGGCATTTCCCAGGCTACCGGTACTCTAGGATACGTAGTCCGGCACAACGCCACAAACCGTGTTGGTTGATGGCGAAAGATCAGGGAATAAAGAATACCCCTCCAATAAGTGACCATTAGGAAACCAGCATATGGCATTGCTATTGGCTGTCGATCTAATTTCTCGTCATATGTACCTACCCGGGCGGTTGGATGGAGCTGTTGGATGTACAGTACTCACAGGTCACCTCATACCCCTGTAAGCTATGACGGGGACCACACAGAGCCGTACAAAGGGCACATACCGGGTCAATCAATATGAAGTGCTTCTTACTCAGGGAACCGCCGTCTTTTCCAACGTGGGTTCCTACTCCATATTTATTTAAGGAGTTTTGACGTCTCATCCAACGCTCATCAATCCTGAGCTCAAATCTCCTTGATAGAGAATTATCAAAGTGCTCCCAATATACCTACTATCACGGAGCTTTGATTCCAAAAACAATGACTACCCAACTCACGGCATTAAACCTGGCTGCTGTCAAAGAAGCATACACTTTGATCAAACCGAAGATATGGAAAACTCCAGTCTACAAATCAGCAACACTATCACATACCATCAGTAGCTCCATATTCAACAAAGACAAGATTGGAGCCACCGGCATCCCAAAAATCAATGTATTTTTCAAGTGTGAGAACTTACAAAAGACCGGTTCGTTCAAATTTCGCGGCGCCTCCCATTTCCTCGCAAGACAGAACGATCAGGCGCTCCGAAATGGCCTAGTCACTTATAGCACTGGTAGATACTATCTCCATGCTCTCTCCTCTCAGATGGTATGATATGGTCTAAATTTGGCTAACGGTTATATGCAAGGCAATCATGGCATTGCGTTGGCCCAAGCAGCGGCGTATGCATCGGAGGAGCGAGGTTTCCCCATACCCCTGACTGTCATTATGTCCAAGTCTGCAGACCAGGGCAAAATCTCCATGATAGAAAAGCTCGGGGCTACTGTATCGGCTTGCTATCCGACAATGGAGGCTTGTGCAGTACGGGCAGAAGACCTGCAGCGGAAGGCTGGGCTGACCTTGGTCCCAACGTCTGGTCACTGTCATGTTGTCCTGGGCCAGGGTACTGTCATGCTCGAGTTCCAACAGCAGGTTGCAGGCCTGGGAGAGAAACCACTAGATGCTGTCATCGTTCCTGTTGCTGGAGGCGCATTATTGGCTGGTACAGCTCTGGTATGTCAGGAAGCGAGCTCCCGCATCGATGTCTTTGGGGCAGAACCGCTTGAGGGTGGACCCTCGCTCTTCCAGGGCCGCCAAAGGGGTCGTCGCATCAGTACCTTATGTCCCGACAAGTCAACCATTGCGGATGGTCTTCGTTGTCTCGTGGCCAAGTCGAACTGGGATATCCTTCGAAGCAAGACGCATGTTCAGGATGTATTCCCAGTAGCTGACAGTGAGATCCGGACAGCTATGCGACTAGTTCTAGAGGGCACGAAGCAGCTTGTTGAGCCGAGTGCAGCAGTGCCACTAGCCGCCCTGCTCTTTAATAAACGTCTCCATTCCAACTTGGCTCGGAGGCACGGCCCGTTAAATGTTGGTATCATATTGAGTGGTGGAAACACAAGCGTAGAGAGGCTGCTTTCGCTCTTTACGTGATCTAGAGGGAATTTTCATCTGTCAGCTGTCTTTTTTTCCCCCCAATAATAAGAGCACCAGTACGAACCAACATGTTGTTTTGATAGATCTTTTTGGTTGATTGGCTGCAATATTGTTAACTAACTAATCTAAAAAGGGTAATGGATAATTACACCCTCCTGATGATATTCTCAAAGCTGTCTGGGGGTCAAAGTCACTCACGGGCGAACTGGCCACTCAGCCCCTGACAACCCCAGGCGAGCAACGAAAGCAGCCGATAGGCCGGATAGCGAGAAGAGGCGCAGGCTAAATGGCCAACAACCGGCCCACCAGCTATGCAGCGAATAACTAGTTTAGCCAGCTACCAATTCTGTTAACTGAACAGTTCAATATGATCGATTGAATATGAACTGTGGTGGGAAAATATCGCATTCGCTCTTCGGGCGTCAAGGAGCGATCTGCTTCTACCCGTGAACAAAAGCAGAAGACGCCAGTTACGAAACCGCTATCATATTTGATTGCATGTTGCCCAGCCGGCTTCAGGTCTCCAGAAAGATGTAACTAGTGAAGCGGCATCTAGGTTACTATCTGATACTACTCGCTGTGGATGGTTCTCCGGTTCCTGTTTGCGTCCGTTGGATCTCACATCGTACTCCTGGGATCCACGCGGTGTCAGCAATGACGAGATCTCAATGCTGGGTCGCTGACCTTTTAATCCTACCTAATCCTCCCAAGATTAGCTACTTACTTACCTGACTGTCTGATTCCTGGAGGAAAAGTCGAAACCAATCGACGGATAGACAGTCCGGAGCCATTATACCCTTGCACAATCGTACTGTTAATATTTGTCTATGTGGCTACGTTTTCGTCCTGCTGCTTCGGGTTGCTGGCCTCCTGCCGGCGCATATGGAAAAATGCCTCACGGGAGGATCTCACTGCCATCCAACCCGTATAGATGGTATACTTTTGCTAGCTGGGCTTATATAGACGGCTCCAGGAGCTATCCGCATCTCTGAAAGTATGGAAACGATACTAAGCTTGTCTGCTACCGTTCCCTGTATTTTCAATACCTAATATCAAGTACCAGCCCCTTCTATACGCCTTTCTTGATGCATACAAACCGCCAGGTACTCCCCAGTACCAATGCAAGCAGCACTACAACTCTGGCGGAAAACGCATGTGGCTGCCATTCCAGAGATATATCTGTCGATGACGTCCACAAAGTCGAAGCCATACCATCAAACTCCCTAGACAAGGCTCCCGATGGAGGTCTGGTAGCATGGACTCAGGCCACCATGGCCCATCTAGTCGTATTCAACACATGGGGGTTCGCAAACTCCTTCGGTATATTTCAGGCCTACTACATGGGATATCTGGGCCGGTCTCGAGCAGACATAGCCTGGATAGGCTCAATCCAGATCTTCCTTATATTCATGATTGGGACCTTTTCTGGCCGTGCAATCGACGCTGGATATTGCCGAACAATTCTCGTGGCCGGCCTGTTTCTGCAGATACTAGGAGTGTCCATGACCTCGGTGTCTCGAGAATACTGGCAGATATTCCTTGCTCAGGGCGTGTGTCAGGGTATAGGGAATGGGTTAATATACACCCCAACAGTATCGCTAGTCTCGACCTACTTTTCCAAAAGAAGGGCTATGGCCATGGCTATAACTTCTGGTGGAGGTGCCACTGGCGGAATTGTGTTTCCCCTTGTTGCCCAACAGCTTCTACCCAAAGTAGGATTTGCGTGGACTGTTAGAGTGATGGCATTCATTATGCTCGCCAATGCATCTATCGTCATATGTCTTATGCGTGGAAGAGTTGCCCCAAGGAAAAGTGGCCCTATAGTCGAGTGGTCGGCTTTCCGCGAATTGCCATACTTACTGTTCTGCCTTGGCTGCTTTCTTATCCTGTGGGCTGTCTATTTGGCCTATTCTTATGTAGGTTGTCCCCTCAGGAAACCAAGCTCCAAATATTTGCTAACCCCTGACCTACTAGATCAGCACTTTCAGTCACGATATCATCGGAATTTCTCCCTCTACCTCCCTAACCATCCTACTTATTACGAATGCCGTTGGCATCCCCGGTCGTGCTATTCCTGCTTTTCTTGCTGACCGATATACCGGGCCCCTTAGCATGTATATACCAATGTCGCTAGCAGCGGGGATTTCCCTTTATGCATGGTCCGCAGTACGGGACTTGTCTGGTCTCGTAGCATTCTCAGTCATGTACGGACTCTTCGCAGCTGCATGTCAGGGCCTTTTTATCGCCTCTTGCTCCTCCTTGACAGTCGACCTTAGCAAGATGGGCACCCGAACAGGCATGGTATTTACTATTATCTCCTTTGCAACATTGACAGGACCACCTTTAGCGGGGATGCTCATAGAAAAGAGGAATGGTGATTATCTTTATGCCCAAATCTTCGGCGGTACATCGTTCATTCTAGGATCGCTGATATTGATCGGGGCAAGGTTCGCTCACACTGGGACCAACTGGAAGTGCCGTGTGTAAGCTTGGTATATTTTTTTTTTTTTTTGGACTTATTTAAATCTGTTGGATGCATTCCTGGGCTTTGATAGCATGGGTTAAGTGTCTGCATATACTCTTTTCTAGTAGTTAGCAATAATCATGATACTGTTACTTCTTCACTGGTTAAGCCTGAAATAGGATCACTACAGAGACACCACCACCAAACCATAGATATCATCAGCACAGAATTCAGTGCACCCACCAAACTACATATTTCTGTACTCTAACTACTCACAGATATTTTCGAGTCGCTCCCTAGATGTTCCATCATCGATGTCTCTCCGGGGATCCTCCGACGGAGCACTTTAGTCCGTGGTTACTCACTTTTTAACTAGCCGGCCGTCGTATAAATATCGACGTCCGCGATATCCAAGAAATTATATCTCTCACAGTCTCTCTCATTCTATTTCTATAAAGACGAAGAGTCGCAGGATGTTATCCTTTAAGCTTATACAATGGCTGTATAGAGAGTTCGGCCTTGACTCCGTCTACCGGACGGGGCCCGATACCTGGTTCGTGATGCTGGCGAGAACATGCCGGATGTTTGCGTTTGGGGCTATCTCTCTGATCCTCGCCCTATTTATGTCGTCTCTGCATTTCTCGGACCTTTGGATTGGCTTCTTTATGACGATGACATTGGTCGGGGACGTTATCCTCTCCCTTCTTGCAGCCCTGGTGGCTGACCGTGTTGGGCGTCGGCGGATCCTCTTGCTCGGAGGTGCTTTAATGGCACTGTCTGGCACAGTGTTCGTGTTCTTCGAGAATTACTAGATCCTACTTATGGGCGCTATGGTCGGTGTCATCAGTGCTACTAGCGGTGATTTTGGCCCTTTTCGCTCTGTTGAAGAGTCTACAATATCCCATCTCACGACGCCAGCTACGCGAACTGATGTGCTGTCCTGGTATGTTACGACTTCAACGCTGGGTTCTGCCTTGGGGAACGAAGCTGCCGGTCATATAGCCAGCTTTTTGAAAAGACTTCAAGGCTCAAAGCAGGATATTACGGATGTGTATCATGCTCTGTTTTGGATATATGTTGCAATGGGTGTACTCTCCATGATATTTGCATGTCTGATGAGCAGGAAGTGCGAATCTACCGAAGTGCAAGTGAAGTCTGCTACCGAAAGGCCTCGGGAGACTGAACCACTACTTAATCCTGGAACAGCAGGAGAGAATACCCTTGAGCAAAACGACAGTGACCCTGTTTAAACACCTTCCGCAAACCTCCAGCAACCATCAAGACCACAGTCTTGGTTTGGTAGGCTATGGTTCAAAAGCAAGATTGCGGAGATATCACAGGAGTCTCTCTCTGTGGTCATCAAACTCTGGATACTTCTCACAATTGACTCGCTGGCTGACGGAATGGTGTCCTACGCACTCACAAACTACTATCTCGTGCGTAAATTCGGTCTCGCTGAGTCGTATCTAGGAGACATTATGTCAATCTGTTTCCTGCTCATGGCCATATCTACCGCCTTTGCTGGACCTCTTGCGCGACGTCTAGGGCTTATCAATACCATGGTATTCACTCATCTTCCGTCTTCTCTCGCCGTTCTGCTGCTACCGGTACCCCAGAACGTGGGCCTGACCATTGCTCTACTATTCATACGCACTGGGCTGAATAGTATGGACCAGGGACCAAGAGCCGCGTTCATTGCGGCCGTGGTAAAGCCAGGAGAACGCACAGCGGTCATGGGTATCACGGCTATGCTCAGGACGTTGGGATCTACTATAGGACCTAGTCTTACTGGCTTTCTTGCTGACACGGACAAGTTCTGGATAGCATTTGTTGTTGCCGGGGCCTTACGCGTTGCCTACGATTTGGGGCTCTTCTACTTATTTGTTGACCTGAAAATCAATGCTCCTGAGCAGGCAAAGGACCCAGCGACAAATGATCAAATATGAAACTAGTTAATTCTCTGGTGATGAAAGGGGAGAAAGGTACTTGGCTAATAGGAAGAGCAGCAGAATGGTAAATATTATTAATGATTGGCTATAGGCAATAAGAAAGATAGCAGGACGGAGTAACCAATTGGCCTTGTTGGAAGTGAGAGATTGAGCGATGTGGGAAGATGGGTCTGGCTCATTCTTGAGGTATTCTCCCAACGTACACTACCTCCGAATAATTCGATAGTAACTAATATACGCGGATTATAAGTTTAGAAGTCAACCCCAATAATATTTTCATAAACTACAGCGAGGACCCAAAGAGAATTGGTTAGATAATCCTGGGTGACTTTTGTGACAGATGTTATGTCGACCCAAACGTCAACCCACTGAGGATGGACATATTATTGGCGCTGGACAGTTCCGAAGCCCAGATATCATGCTGAATTTGCGCTGGGGTCCGCCAATATATATCTAGTCCTGCGGTGCCATACTAGGTCTAGTCCTGTGACAAGTTGTGCAATGTTATGAGCTGACAAGTTTATAGCTAATCAGCTTAGTATGGGGAAAGGGCTGGCACATCTTCAAGCCAGAGAATATTTACCCGGAAGATGACAAGTACCCGGCGTATATCATGATCAAACGAATCAATGCTTTGGGCCACTTCCCGAGAAACTTACGGATATTGTGGATGAGAAGAGAGTAACCATGGCAACGCAGCGGATTTACTACGTTGAGAACTTGAGCAGTGAGCAATGCAGGGCATTTGCTCAAATGGAGGATGATGCTGAGCTTTCCAGGGAGACTCGAGAATTTTCTCTGTAGAAATAATGAAACTGCAACCGCCCCCGCCCCCCCCCCCCCCCCCCCCCGCCCCGATAAACCAACAGCAATGCAGCTGTCGGAGGACAAATGGTTTAATGGAACTTAGATTATTATACTCAGCTACAGAGGAGGCAGCTGACACCAGAGGAAAAATAAAGGAGTGTAGTTTTCATATGCGATCCGTGTTTTGTCAGTTCCCTTTCCCATGTTCTATGACCCTCAAATTTCACCGATCACATCTTTCAGTATCTCTGGAAGGATCACACTTGAATCACCTTGGAATAGCCAGTCAGTTGGGTCCAGGCCCCCCTTGGGGAGGTGAGTGGCATCCATATTAATCACAGCAACACGAGCGCCTCTATCTCGGCCTTCTTCAATATATAATGCAGCCGGGAATACCTGGGCACTTGTACCGATGACCAGGACTAGATCAACCGGGCCCTCATCGAGGAATTTATCTATACTGTCCAGTGTATCGTTAGGAAGCTCCTCGCCGAACCAGACTACCCCAGGCCGCAGAAGCCCGGTTGAGCATTTCGGGCAATGCGGGAGATCGTCTTCTGTGAGACTAGGAATTGGAACGTTTGCATCTGAAATGTCCAAGTCTTCACCTCCAGAAGGGGAGATCTTCTCATCCAGGGCAGCATGTATGGCTTTGGCAGCCTGTTCACCAGTTTTATCATCCGTAGATGGATTCAGCTGCGGACCTGCCTTAGGGATTGCAAGACAAGGGACAAGCGGGTCTTGGAAATCGTTGTCTCGCGAGTAGGTGCAGTACTCTGAAGCGCATTTCACAGTAAACAGAGAGCCGTGAAGACGGTGGAGCTGAGACTCAGGGTGATCAGCTCGTTCCGATAGGCCTACAGCAACGTTAGCACAGTTCTACAAAGTACAAGTTAACGTCAATATAATCAAGCATACCGTCAACATTCTGAGTCAAAGTCCAGAACTGTGGGATCTTCCTGGCCAACGCTGCGAGGGCATAGTGTCCTCTATTGGGATGAGCCACCAGGGACATATGCCGTCTGTAGCTGTAGAACTGCCACACGAGCCCTGGGTCAACACCAAATGCCTCAGGAGTTGCCAGGTCTGGTGCCCGATGAGAGCGCCATAATCCGCCGACCCCACGGAAGGTAGGCAGGCCAGACGCTGCAGAGAGGCCAGCACCAACTAAGGCCAGGATACGCTTTGATTTCTTGAGATGCTCACGGAAGCTGAGCAGGTCAGCCTCGGGAATACCTGAGGCCATGGCAAAGCGACAAAGCAGGTGCCAGACGAAGGAATCTGGAGGTCACTGGAGGTTAGGCTGTGCCACTACAAGGAAAGAAGAAAAGAAGGAAGGAGCAAGACGGAGCGATTTTATGCTTCTTTTTCCTCCAGCGGGAAGGCCCCACTTGCATGCAGAGCCGCAAGCTTGGGCGTTGGCGGACGGTGAGTGGAAGTAACGGTACGGATCGTTAGGCGTGGCGTGGTAACGGTCCAAGCAACGACAGCGCGTGTGCTGTTACTTCCACTGCGAGGATCAGGTTATAAGGACACCATTCTAGTAGATACCTGGCGATTTTGCGGAAAGAGGGTCCATTGGCTAGTAAGAGCCTCTTCTGCATCTATCTACGACCTTTTAAACGGATTAACTCGAGACTTCTATGGGTTATTGTGCAATGTTGGTTGTGGTGGAAATAATATTGTTCGTGGCATTTCTAAACACAAAAAACGGTAACAGTCCCGGACTGTTCCCATTTGGTACTGTTACCTCCACGTAAATACCCAAGTTACAGCCACGGGTAACCAGCGTTTAAAAGAAGCGTTGCTATTGCATCGTTATGCGAGCTCTTAAAAAGTGGCTTTCGGCTTATATTTGAATAAAAATAGTGCAGGAACTGAGGATGTCCATTAAATATCAGAATTCGAGTCATCGTGGTTCAAGGAGCAGGAAGCTTCATTGCAGCATATGCATGCTTCTTGTTCTCCTCTGTTACCTTGGAAACGTATTCTTTTAGATACGCTGGCACCTCTTTCACCATATTCGTCGAGCTAGGGACAGGCTCGCCAAGGGTCTGCCAGACAGGCACGATACCAGACCACACCTTCTCCCTCACCTCCATGCTATCGATATCCTGCTTCTCATCTGACACTTCACCATCACGCACCTTGCCGCTGCCAGCAACAATCTTTACACGCAAGATGGTCGTGCTCTGGAACTCGCCTGCCGTTGGGGGAGTCCGTGAATTGTCCCATCGTTTAGCCACGACGCCGTCAGTGATCAGCTTCATGGCATAGTTCTTCTCATCCTCATCCGTGACCGGCACACCATAACCATGCAGAACAACAGAGCGGTAATTGTAGCTGTGCGAGAAAGGAGAGAGGGATAGAACAAGACCATCCACGTGAGTTGCTGAGATGCAGAGAGGGAGGCCTTTATCCCCAGCCGCCCGTGCCATGTTCATCATGCGTGCACTGACATATCCGTGTATATAGCAGTCCAGAGGCTCGTCGATACCATTGGAAGGGAACTCGTAGGATCCCATTTGTCCGATCATAGGGATGATTGTAGGGAATGGATCGTCGCCGCCAGGCACGAAAGCGACATCAAGGTGAGTTGCCGCATTGATGATGGAATGAATAGGCCCGAGATCGTAGGTCACTGGTCATAGACATCAGCGCGTCATTCTCTATCCAACTGTCAGATGAGAGTTTACCTCGCTTAGCGTAACGGTTGGCCGTGTTGCTAATACCCTTGGGATACACAAGTGTCTTGCCCATTTTGATATGACTCTGACGGTTCTATATGCTGGGGTAGTGGGTAACGGAAATTAACAAAGATAAGTTGGTCTTTTGATCTTTCGATGACTGGGAGAAGCGTTTATATAGATGTGTCTGAACGTGTTGAAGGAAGGGCGTTGCCAAAAGGACGATGATTCATCAGCACGGTTAAATCGTCTCTCCATACTAACGTATCCCCAAAGCATCATTTAGCCGTGCCCCGCCATGCTGCCTTGAACACCGTAAACCATACCTTACTCTGTCTGAAGAACCGTTCTTGGTCCCTTTCCCCCAGTCCATCCCGAACTCTCGGCCATCTCATCGCCCGGCTTTGGCATTTGGGCCGAGCCTTATCGCCTTATCGCCTTTCCGCGGCTTAACTGTCTCCATCTTTAAATAGAATCCAGCCAACCAGCAGGTTTTGATTGACAAAATTCCCCCAGCCACGCTAACTCGTTTAGACAGGTTTATCCGAGGTCGGCCCTGGAGACCAATAGGAACTGATGACTAATGGGAAATAACATTAGGCTTTTTTTCTGCTTAGTAATTCTCAGCCTCTGCTGGAAGAAGCAGGGAAACTTCCACTCCATCTTCTTCCGAGCTGATAATCTGCACGTATCAGAATAATCAATACGGAGTACGGAGTACATTATAACTAACAGCAGCAAACTCCTATAGACACGCGGCAAACATATGAGAAAACAATATATACCAATATACTCCATACAATACCCAACTATATTGAAGATTCGACCTGCATTTTTGGCAGACATGCCCTATATTCTGATGACCACTTTGCCCATATGTTTGGCATCATATAGGTAGTCAAACGCGGCCTGCGAATCATCAAAAGTAAAGACCGTGTTATCCAGAATGGGTTTTAAATCGATTTTCTTCTCGGATAAGAAATCAGACAGGTTCTGGTGGTCTGTTTTGGAGCCTACGGCGCCCCCTCTAAAACACACAAATATCGTTAGCAGTGTTTAAACCTTGGAGGAATGGCTATTCTAAAACGATAGCTACCTTATGGTTGCTGTCTTGGTCAAGAGAGGCGTGATTGTATCTGGGAAGCTCTTGACATCGAATCCTCCCAAGAATCCCACCACGGTAATGGATCCTCTTCGGGCCAGAGATGTAATGCTCTGTGCTATCGTCCTAGGTCCCACGGTTTCGATGACAAAATCAACTCCGCGACCATTGGTGAGGCGAAGCACTTCATTCTCCCAATCAGGGTGGGTTCGGTAGTTGATAGTGTCGACTTCTCCTGGCTTGCCAAGAGCTCGCACTCGGTCTAGCTTCTCATCAGATGAAGAAGTGATGATTGGGCGAATTCCGGCCGCGAGACAGATGAGAAGACCGAACATGCTTACTCCTCCAGTGCCTGGGAGGGAAGTTAAAAAAATGCTGCTCTTCAATGTGGTTGTATTTGATGGAAGTCCTACCTTGAAGCAGGGCAGTGCCCGTGGAGCGAGGCATTGATAACGCTCTCCATGCCGTGGTACCAGCACAGGTGATACATGCTGCCTATGGAAAGTTGGCATGTCAATATACCCGTTTACTACTTTAGTAGTTAATGCTTTGCTTACCTCCTCCCAAGATAGGTAGTTCGGCAAGTGAAATAACACGTTTCTGTCGAAAACTGCATATTGACGCAACACTCCATCAATATGTCCTCCTAACGCAGCTTTATCTTCCTCGTTGTCATGAATATTTTTCACATCAAAGATAGGTGCAACATGGTCTCCAATCTCAAAGTCCTTAACGTCGGACCCAACCGCTATAACCTCGGCGGCACAGTCGGAGGCGGGGATACCTCTATCGAGAAACTTGATGGGATATTTGCCGTGCAACATGGCTACATCTCTGTAGTTCAGTGATACAGCGTGGATGCGAATCAGGACTTCTTGGGGCTTAAGGGTAGAGGGGATCTTTTCTGTGATTGGCTCGAGAGTTTTGAAGTCACTGCCCTTGCTGCGCCTGTAGGCCTTGGTGGTCTTTGGGGTGGACATTATATGTTTTAGTCTCAGGATTCACCAATGTATTGTTGAACGCTAGTATTATATTATATTGCTAACGATGCTATGAAACAGTTTGTTACCAAACAGCGTCGCCTTTATATAACTACGTTTGGATTTATAATCGTCAAAAGGATTTCGGCACGTTCCTTCAAGTCCGAGAGAGAACTATGCATAAGTAATGCATACATGCATGCTGGCGTCATTTAAGGGTATATCGGCTCCTGTAAACGGAGTTCATAGGCTGCCAGCATCTTCCGTTAATTGTTGGGATCGCCTGCGCGTTTACTCCTCTCGTTACATGGATTTCATAGTTACCTTAGCTGCTTTTGGCATTTGGGAAGGAAAAAAATCTATGTATCTATATACGTACCTCTAAATCCGTTATTCATTAGAGAGGCCCTGAGTACAGCTCCAACAGTCCTTTCCTGCGCATACCTCCCCCACAATCCACCTCATCGCCCAACCGATCTCTCCTCCCAGCTTCTGCATCACCCGCTGGCTGGCCTTGTTCTCCTTATTAACATCCGCAAACACCCAGCCTTTCTCCCTCCCATCGATATCGTCTTCCAGCTGAAGTGCATGGATAGCGTCATTGCCCATGCCCCGACGCATGATCTCTTTGGAGAGCAGGGCCGCGAGGCCTCGTCCACGGTGCTCCGGCTCAACATGTAGAACGATCATGCTCCCGTCATATGTGAGGAAAGCCCAGCCAATAGGCATTTCTTCGACCTTGTCTACACCGTTCCCGTTTATAGGAGCAACAAGGGTTTCACTCTGGCCTTTCGCAGCTACATCTGCCTCTATGTCGTCATGGTAGAGAGCTACGCTGGCAGGGAATGAAGCCCGAGTGCGTTGGATGTGTGTGCGACTTAGAACCAGTCCAAAATGATGATCTTGGATCCCACGGCGGCCCTTGTTGTCATGGAATCGGTATCCCTGCGGTGGTTCGTTGTCACCAGTGTCATAATGGGCTCGGTCAAACATGTACTTCTCGCATAGATCGACACGGTTGATGTGAAAGAAAGGCTTCTGGTCTGAGCCGTCCTGTTCCCTGGGTCCCAATTGGCCGAGCAGCTCAGCCAGGCCATCATTTATTGTCCCCATCAGTAGACCAGTCGGAGGAACGGCAGGTAGCTTCTTAACTCCGTTTGGCTGCGAGCCGGGGATGTTTCTCTCAAGGGCTCCTGGGGTGGACAAGAGTGATGGCAGCAATTTTGAGCGAACATACGCAAGCAGATTCCTGAGCTGCTCTCGAGCCTGCTTCAGTGTCCCTTCATCGGCCATCAGGGTGGTCTGCATCGTGTCTCCAATTATCTCGTTACGCCCATCTGCCTCTAGGCTTGAGTACGCCCACATTTGCGTCTCAGGGTAACGGAATACATCTACATATGCCACCACCCATGGTTCCTCCAGCTGTCTCTTATTCTCTGCGGCGTCTGATCCTGATCTTAAACCCCAGGTTGATCCTGATTCTGGGGGAAATGAAGCTAGGACACGCGCTTCTGCAGAACGTGGGAAGACGCCAAAGGATTGAATGATTCGCAGCACTGGTCCGGAGTGTGGTAGATGACGCTGCAGACGCGGGACTAGGGTGCGAGCGGGATCCGGATGGACATGTATTGAAGCCACCATTGTTATGTCCCTGGATCTCCGAGTGTGAAAAAAGAAGGGGGATACGGTGAGAGGAAGAAACGAAGGGACAATGAGGTGAGTAATTGTATTATAAATAGTTTCCCTATATATAACTAGACCAAAGCCCTTGTATAGTTACCAATCTCCGTTAGCCGTATGACAAGGTGGCTCACTGGATGTTCGTATAACAGATCCTCTATAGATTCACTGCCGCACAATGGCCTTCCACATTGCCCACTGTGAAGCTAAAACTGCGAATCTCTGCTGGATCCCTAGAATTGATACCTGTTATCTTGGTCATGATCAGTCAAAACGTCGCCACGAGCCGCCATTAAGACAATTTGAAGTCAGTCGCGTGCTGAAGAGAAGAACTTGATTACATAATTAAATGTATTTCTATCTCGTAGACTGCTCACGTTATCTAAACTTAGAATTGGCCAATAGAAATTCCAGGAATTGAAGCTCAAAGCTTTGTTTGCATTAAAAAGCAACTGGTATCTCGCTTTTTATCTGATCCTTGACTTGGAAGCTGTCAAGCAACCAACTTCTTCCAGCACACGGCCAGCAGACATCTTAGGCCCATTATGTCGACGGGAACCCGGTTATGGAGACAGTGTTCTCGAAATATCCCCTCATTACAGGCTAGAGTCCCCCAAAGCAGCGTTATCGCTGCTGCACTACGACGAAGATACAGCTCCATCTCCGCCGCAGAGCTCCAGTTTGGCCAACCACTGCACGAAACGCACCCTCACCTATTAAAAGCCGGAGAACGTCAGTTGCACCTCGGTTTAGCTGAGAATCACCACCCCGTGAGCTTTTGTGAGTAAATACTTACTTCTGGTTGGTAAATGTATAGTAACCCCGGGCATCACGGCACTCGAATATGACCACCGCCGCTCAAAACTTGCCTCCAAGCTACCTAAGAACGCCGTCGCTATTGTTCGCGCTGCGGAATTGAAGTATAAGTCGAAGAACGTGTTCTACAAATATCACCAGGACACCGATTTCTTTTATTTAACCGGTGCGTAAGTCTGCTGGAACGCCATTTTTTTGACATAAGTAAATGTTGACGGCGGTGGTCTAGGATTCAATGAGCCTGGTGCTCTAGCTATCATAGGTACGTACGGACTGGAAGAAGATAGATTGGTTATTAGGCCATTTTGGTACTGATGTTTGCGATGGTAGCAAATACCGGCGAACCCGGCGAGCATACTTTCTACCTCTACGTTCGAGAGAAGGACACACGAGCAGAGCTATGGGAGGGAGCAAGGTCAGGGACACAGGCAGCCATGGATGTATTCAATGCTGACGAGGTATGCATCCCGTCCGACACGCGACTAGAAATATAGGCTGGCTGACCTACGTCTAGTCTGGCGACATCGACCATCTAAAAGACTACCTACCGGAAATCCTATCTGGTGCATCAGAGATATACACTGACATCAGCGCTGGACGAGGCCGCTCAGCTTTTTCCCGCTTCATATCCAGCTTCTCTGACTCCACGAGTTCAGCTAGTGATGCAAGAGAAGAAGCCATGGAAAAGATCAGGCCGTTGTCTCCGATAATTAACGAACTCCGCGTATTCAAGAGTGACGCTGAGATCGCGAATATGAGACATGCAGGACGTGTGACTGGTCGAGCATTTACCGAATCTATGCGCCATGGTTTTGGCACTGAGAGTGAACTTGATGCCTTTTTGGAGTACCAGTTTCGTCGTCAGGGCGGTGATGGGACGGCATTCGTGCCTGTTGTTGCCGGTGGATCGAATGCGTTGAGTATACATTATGTTCGGAATGATAATGTGTTACGGTATGTACCTTGGCTGCTTGTGGTGTGAGGCATGCTGACTTTTGAGCACAGAGATGGGGAGTTAGTTCTGGTTGATGGTGGTGCGGTGAGTATATTGTATGTTGTCTGATCTGTTTATGAGTCTGTTCTGACGCCATGCAGCAATACGCAGGATACATCTCAGACGTGACGAGAGTATGGCCGGTAAACGGCAAGTTTACTCCTGCGCAAAAAGAACTATACACCGCCGTCTTAAATGTACAGCGGTCATGCATATCTCTGTGCCGCGAGTCAGCCGGCCTATCACTCGACAAGATCCACGATATAGCTGAGCGAAGTCTTCGAGAACAACTAGACTCTATTGGTTTCAATACCTCTGGCAGTGTATGGACATTCTTTCCCGCTCAGTACATGATCGACTACTAACATCTAGCTACAGGCCATGCGAACGCTTTTCCCTCATCATGTAGGCCATCATATCGGCCTTAGCGTGCACGACTGCGGTGGCTACTCAAGGCAAGAAATGTTGCGCAAGGGCCAGTGTATCACCATTGAACCGTAAGTTTTCCCGTACCGAAACAAAATACATTGACAAATGGATGCTGACGAGGATTCAAAGGGGTGTCTACGTACCAAATGACGAACGTTGGCCCGAGAAGTTCCGTGGTATCGGCATCAGGATAGAGGATAGCATATGTGTCGGAGACGACAACCCCATCATCCTGTCTCCCGAAGGAGTCAAAGAGGTAAGACTTGTTGTTATCACTGTCAGATATGGCCGCATCAACTAACAGTTTCTGGTTTAGATTGACGACATCGAGGCCCTGAGATAGAATAGAGTGTAAGAGTATATTGTATATTGGCATGTTTCTTTTACTTGTATTATTTGCATGATGTCTCTACTTGTATCTATATATACACCCTTCACCTCCGAGGACAGCCACTCAATCGCGAATAAAATAGATAGATAATTATCTCTCCACCTAAGAATAACTACCATATTCAACGTCATAAAAAAAGAGAAGGGAAAAAAAGTCGAAAAAAAACAAAATAGACCAGGCGGGATTTGAACCCACGACCTCCGCATAACAAAATGGAGTTAGTCATATCACTTCCAGGAAACGATATAAGAACGGCACGCTAACCACTGCGTCACTGGTCTGTCTAAGGGGGCAGTGGGCCTTCAGATTATTATAAGCTTAGGCAGCCTCCTTGGCAGTGCGCTCTCTGATTTCCTTACTACCTAGTGGTGCCTGCTTGCGCCGATGTACAGGGCGAGAAAAGAGTGGCGGCGGCGGCGGCGGCGGCCAGGTGGCTAACAAGAACTCATGATGCATTTATTGGTTTGTTTGAAAGGGTCAAGTACCCCCGTTATTATATCAGATCTATATACATAGTGAGGTAGCTGGTTGGCGTACAATCATACACAGCGAAAGGAGCCCAGCGATGCAATAGGCCTTCTCTGGAGCGATCTACACTCTCTATATTACTACCATCGCCGCCATATCCGGCATAGCCCCTCGTTCTGTCTGCTGTTGAGTGTCTCTTGACTAGGGCTTAGGGTACCTGGAGTAAAGTCGTGAGGGACGGTTGCTGACTCAGCAAGAAAAACGTGACCCGATCTTTGTTTAGAGCAAAACAAGACGAGGAAGACGAAGACGAACGCCGTAGACATCGCCAACCACCACAGCCAGCATCGTCGTCTCAAGGCACAGCGATGACTGCGTCCTCCTGACGGGCTCAAGAGAGCGTCCTCCGCCTCCTCTTTCGTTCTCTCCTTTGTCCCTGTTGTGTTATTGTCCTTTTTTACGTCCTTCTTTCAGTCATTTTACCCGTGTCTCCATCGCGTGTCGTCCTGAGTGAGGCTCTTTTCTCCAGCTCTCACCAGACAGAAAGAATACCAACAACAAGTCTTCGCCCTTCACTCTAATCCCCGGTGCTTCTCACCCCTCAGACCCGTATTGTTATTCATGGCCACTTTATTCGTACCATCTCCACACGCGTTGAATGCAATGACTACCCGAAGAGCGCCTCTGGCAAACGTCCCCAATGCTACGAACTCCCCTCACCGAGCCGTCTCCACGGCCACGGCTGCTACCATGAAGCGCACTCGCCCACCGGGGCTACCATGGGATTCTGCCGCGGCCCCTCCGCCGTTGAAGAAACAGGTGCTCGATACTGCTGACAATGCGGACGCGCGATTCTCTCAGCGGTCTTTGAACCAACAGCAGCCCCAGGCGGGAGAGTCGAAGATATTCACCCGCAGAACTAATACTCAACCCACCGCCTTCGAGAAGAAGCTGGCTGCAGTGAGAGATAAGCCAAAACAGCAGCAGAATGCGCTTAAAGTGAGCAGGAACATCAAATATTGTCCAGAGTCGGTAGAGAGTGTTCGCCAGTGGCAGAGACACTATCGAAAAGTCTTCCCTTCTTATGTCTTTTACTTTGAGAGCATTCCTGAAGAGGTCAGGAAGAAGTATGTCAGGCAGATCATGTCACTCGGTGCTGTAAGTTGCTTAAACTTCTCCTGTTCAATCTGCCGTATACTAACTGATGTGTTTAGACCGAGGAAAAGTTCTTCTCCCGAGTAGTTACCCATGTCGTCACGTCCCGGTCCATCCCTCCTGAAGTTGAATCTGAAAAGCATACGGAAGCAGCCCAGTCAGCGTCTGACCAAAATAACATATCGGGCTCGGTCCAGACCGTAAATCCATCGATGCTGGAGAAGGGTATTGATGCTCAACTAGGAAAGACACGGTCGAGAACAGGCTTCGGGATGATCGAACCGGAAAATAAGAAAGGTATGGGTGGCGGCAGTGGGGATCTTCTTCACCGTGCTCGTCAAATGAACATGAAGATATGGACCCTGGACAAGCTTCAGCGTGTCATATTTACTATGAATGATAAGGAGCTGGCACATATACTCCAGCCCACCCGCAATGGTACTGCGCCGGCGAAAAACAAGACCGAAGATGATCTCTCCTTGGCTCTTCAGCATGAGAAACTCCACGCCCCTACTGACTCTGACTCCCTGACGGTAAACAAAGGGCTGGTCCCCTTCAAGGGACCATACCTGTATATCTGGGATTACAACCGGGAAACACGCCCTGTAGTTATCCGAGAATATCCCAAGGTTAACAAAAAACAGGACGGCGCCTGGCCACAGTTCCGCAGTGTCGAGCTAGGGAAATGTCCCTTTGTTGAAACCGCGGGCAGCAGGAGAACAGAAAAAGATAGGCAAAAACAACAACAGCAACAGGCAAAAACTAATAATACCCAAACCACCCTAGTAACAAAAACAATGGCGCCTCCTGCCAGAGGGCCAAGCAAAACACCCAACCAACAACAACAGTCTAACATGACCCCTACTAACCAAGATGATACCGAGTCTGCACCCGAGGACTCTGCAGGTAGGCCGGTTGAGCCTATGGAGAATACTGCCGCCACCACCACTACTACTACTAATGTAGGGCCAAGGCCAGTTTCCAAAGGCTCAATCTCGGCTTCTTCCTTATCCTTTAAATTTGGAGGTGAAATCGCCGCTTCCGGAATTCAGCCATCAAACATTACATCTGCCATCCGATCGCAGATGATATCCTCGACAGCAGCTACGCAGGGCGCCAGAGCTAGTACCAGCAAGGAAGTACACGAACTCAAACGCAAGGTTCTGGAGAAGAGCAGTGGCATTGTCTCTACCGCCATCTCCTCCTGTCACAGGGCTGATGCAGCAGCCGCTCCCCAGTCCCAGCCTGTTAGAGTGCCAATTGCCCGCGCGGCCAAGCTTAAAGCCCAAGCGAATGACAACAGCAACGTACAACTGACAGAACGGAACAGACGCGCCAGTGATGTCGCTCCCAAGAAACAGAGCGGGCTGCGAAAACAGCAGGCTGGCAGCAAGAAACGTGACCCTAAGCCAGGCTACTGTGAGAACTGCAGGGAGAAATTCGAGGATTACGAGGATGTATGCTTCTCTCAATTTTTCTTCTTCCGTTTTAGACTGGTTGTCCTCAAGCTAACTAAAATCGCAGCACATTGGGACCCGGAAACACCGCAAGTTTGCTTCGAATTCCATAAATTTCTTTGAAATAGACGCATTCATTCTTGGCCTGAATCAGGGTCATGATAGGTATCGGTAGTAGCATACCTGCAGATAAACGTTGTGTGTTTGCCTTGACTTGCATGGCCCTCGAAATATTTGTATTTATAGCGAAGCGACTTCAGCGTAAATTCTCAAAGCACACACCTTCTGATTGCGAAGTAATTAATATACCACATACAAGTCGAATCCTTTACTCCTCGTCATCTTCATCTCATCCTTTTTGTTACCCCTATCTATCCCCTGCGCTCCCAGCTGTATCAGCTTGCTTGTCTGCCTTTCCCCTTGCCAAGCAATATCACATGACCAGTGGTCTCGTGACTGTCTCTCGTCCATCCAATCACATGCTTCTCTCCCGGTAGTGACGGAACGAACAAGCTAAAAACCGAACTAACGACTCTCATATTCTCTACTCTACGCTGCATAAACCATCACGTACAAAATATAAAAGAGCTGATTTTTCCCTGGAACAAAAGGAGAGGAAGGAAGAAAAAGACTCAATCTGATGGAATGGGTTTCTCTCGTTTAATTTCGCACAACAGTTTATTTTTTCATAATTGGTTCACATATACCTTGACAATATAGCTAGTTATCCCAGACCATAATTAGATACCCCCCTGATATCATAATTGAATATACAGCCTACTCCTCTTTTGTCTGTGTGGTTACGATATATCTCCCTGCCCTCTACCTGCCCTCAACTTCCACTTCAAAACACCATGGCATCTCGACTCTGCTCTCGCTTGGCATACACCCGGCCAGCCACTGTTGGCATTCGATTAGGTGGCGTCATCCGGCCCACTGCAACTACAACATCAACATCCAAGTCCTTCCCACCTGCCGCAAAGCTAGCTGCTACAAGACAGCAAGAACGATATAGTTCAAACTCTCCCATGGCACCTGCTCCCGGCCATGCCCGGAAGAAGGTTACCATCAAGTCATTGGAAGCCCTGTACCGAAAGGGGGAACCAATTACCATGATGACGGCGCACGATTTCCCTAGCGCCTATGTATGTGAGGCTGCGGGCATGGAGATGATCCTCATTGGAGATAGTTTGGCAATGGTTGCTCTGGGGATGAGTGACACAAGCGAGGTCACGCTTGAGGAGATGATTGTGCATTGTCGTAGTGTCTGCAGGGCGGTGTCGTCGGCCTTTGTGGTATGTATACATATATCCCTGATTCCTCTTTTTTCGCAAGTGTGTGGCTGATGGTATGGTAGGTCGGTGATATGCCAATGGGTTCATACGAGGTTTCGGAGGAACAGGCGGTCCAGACCGCCATCAGGCTTGTGAAAGAGGGTCGTGTCCAAGGTATCAAGATCGAAGGAGGCCAGGAAATCACGCCTACTATCAGGCGCATCGTCAAGGCGGGTATCCCTGTAGTTGCGCACGTTGGGCTAACTCCACAACGACAAAATGCTCTCGGAGGATTCAGGGTACAAGGTAAATCCATGGCCACAGCAATGAAGGTTTATGAAGATGCTCTGGCTGTCCAGGAAGCCGGTGCTTTTATGACGGTGCTTGAAGCAGTGCCTGCTGAGATTGCTTCTATCATCACGAAGAAGTTGCGTATCCCGACTATTGGTATTGGTGCCGGCAATGGATGCTCGGGTCAGGTGCTGGTGCAAATCGATATGTTGGGCAACTATCCTCCTGGAAGGTTCTTACCAAAATTCGTCAAGAAGTACGGCGACGTGTGGTCCGAGAGCTTGAGGGCCATCGAACAGTATAAGAGTGAAGTCAAGAGTAGGGAATACCCGTCGCCTGAATACTCATACCCGACTGCAAAGGAAGTCGTTGAGGAATTTGAGAAGGTAGTGGGGGAGAAATAGTGAGACATGGTTGCATGTTGTTCCGTCTGCAAACATTGTGTCGGCACATATTCCATCCTATACTGGCGCTTGAAGATTAATATCTTGTTTTGTTATGCGGAGCCCAGGCCGTACCGTACATACACATACCTTTAGAAAGCATTCATGTAAGTAATAGCAAAGAGTGAAAGAATACAACATACACGCAGTCAGACCTGCTCTATTTACGATTTAGAACCATCATCCACCGCCCGCTACCTTATCATCCGAAAGCCGGCGTCATGGAATATGATATAATCAATTGATCATCTGACTTGAAGCACTATACAACAATACACCGGTTAGTTAGGTTAAACGTGCAAGTTAAATTGTGAGAGCAGCTAGACATACCCTCCACAAGCCACCAATTCCCTCATCCAACCCTGGGGCAAAGACACTGTTCACGTAGCAAAATACGGAGTCCGTATCCTTGCAGCCTAGCTTCTTCCTCAAGAAGCGAACGATGGTCTCGAACTTCTGAGAAGCGCTGACTTTGAACACCTTGCTCTGAAGAAGAGGAGCAGATGGCATAGGCAGGAATCGAACAGTAACTATCTCAGGGGAAAACGTCAATAAGCATAAAAAGGAGAAGTAAATACCCGCTAAATGGAATACCTTTTCTGTTATCCAGCGCTTCTATTTCTTCCAAAGCCCGGTGACTTGACTTGGGAAGCACCGGTAGCACCATGGAGGTGGACATGGGCAGGTTAGCTGGGTCTCCAGTATCTGGTATAGGAGCTGTCGACCCTCTTCTGCCACTATCTTCCATACTGGATCTGCTTTGGCTGGCCCTGTCGCTGGATATATTCAGTCCTTCAGTGGTAATATGTCTTGAGGTTCGTCGTGAGGAGCCTGGAGAGGGCGACCCAAACGGGGTATGCTGCGACATCTCGGCGTTCCGGAGAAAACACTCCCGGAACAGGTTTCCAGATGATTAGCTAGCTAGTTACTATGATAAGTGACTAGCTACAAAAACGAGCTGTCTTAGTGAGTCGTCTTTGTGAAGTCGAATATCTAGACAACCAAGTTGTCTCTCAAGCGCTGCGTTGTCTCGAAAGCAACAAGGGTGCTTAGATAAGCTGGAAGTTAATAGAAACTTAGTTACATAAGCCCGAAGATCACAGTTTGCCACTAACTATAAATAGTAAAGCTTATTACCTCATCTGGTTAAGCTCTCCACCGGCGGGCTCAATATAAGCTTCTCTTCCGGTTCTCCCCTTTTTTTACAACCAACCTATGTTTCTCTGCCTTCCATCAGTATAGAATTGACAACTTTGACAGAACAGCTTATTTGATATTACCTCGAGTTAGCTATCTATCAGGCGCAAATCAGCCGAATATGGATGAACATGGCCCAGGATACGACGTCGACGGCCTCAAAAGCGCCCGCTAACCCCATTACCCCTGTTGATTTATGTAAGTATAAGCTTAAGTTATGTTCCCTATTTCCCTTCTAGAAGCGGCCTAGATGCGATGAATTGCTTCTAACAGTGAATGCTCCGTAATTGTTTTGTCCCTATTAACGAGTAGTGTAACAAGTGTCCTTGAGTAGCACAACTGTATCGAACCCGAGCTGAGCGCCAACCCTGCACTACATATAGAGAGCTCCATCGATAACCAAACCCCTGCTCGGGCTCCGGACCGAAGCCAGTCAAGACAAAAAGGAAACATAGGCACGCAAATCATCTTACCGAGATCGGGAGAAGCGTCGAGTCAACACACCGCTATCTTTGTGCTGGGCAACTAGGAGATAACAGCAAGAATAATAACTACCTCCTGCACCTGGTTCCTTTCTAGTGTTAAGTTGATAGAGCGACAAGCAAAAGCCAAAAAGTGCCAAGCACGAATTATTAGTCATCAATCTGACTAATCATGCATATCAGCGGGAAGAACAACAAACATCCCACAGCCAACAAGTTACAGGCAGACCAACATGCGAATAATATAACAACATCCAGCAGGACAGAGCATCTCGTTTGTCTGGCCCAGAGCATCTCGTTTGTCTGGCCCAGGAACCGAAGTAGGTGAAACAGACTGTGGCTGACGCTAGCAACCAGCATTGCCCATTTGCTTCTAGAAACGCTTAAGTGAGCCAAGGTGTTGCGAGACAGGCCTTGTCCGTTTCGACCACGGTTTCAATGCTTGATTGACGGAACGCGATGGACAAGTAAATATAGATGACAGTCGAAGGCTGCTAGCAGGGGCCAAGCGGATCCCTATTTTCGAGAGTTCAATGTCATGCCTGATGCTGCATACTTGCATGCCCATAGAGAACTTTCACATTACGAAATCCAAGATGCGATCTTCGAGCCCTGCGTGGCAGAAATTCTCCTAGGCTATTTTTACCGACCAGCTTTATTCGCTGTGTCATATGAGCTCGTTACTGACTTATTGCTCCATGAGCTGGCACGAATCAAGATCGGACTAATTTAACCCTTGACCGCCCTTCCAGGTGCCCAATGCCATCCTGCCGCTGCCAGCCACGCTTACTTACAGGCCACACCACATGTTGATGCACAGCCAACTCCCAGCTTCAAACTGGTCAGACACCCTTTGGGCTCTCGACATGGTGCTGTGGAAAATCAGTCTGTTCCTTTGAGGTGTCGCAGGTCCAGGTCATCGCCCAGCGGTGTACGGAACAAAAAACAATCCTCCATCCCATTGCAAAGCTTGTTCATGTGCTATCAGTATCTCCGTCAAAAAAAGGCTATATATATTGAATACGAGCGAGAGGTGGTCATGGATGCCACGAGGGAAAACCAAAGGCCCTTAACCCCACAGGGGGCGCGGGTTGGACGGGAAGATCCCATCCGTTCTTGATCTCTTGCGCTGTGCGAGCCTTTTATTTCACTGGCTCTCGAAGGATGCCGATTGCGACCCATCTGGTTTCTGTACTGCCAGGTACGAAGAGTATCCAGGGTAAACAGAGTATAAGGCACAATGCAAGATGATTATTTCGCGCGTAAGAGCGCACGTACGGAGCTCTCTCAGAGGGATTCAAATAACTGTATATTCATTGTTAGGAATCTATTCTTTGAGACTAGTGGTTTAACTAGCTAACCGGCTGTTAGTACCATAGCTGATGACCGACTGACTATCCTGTCAGCCGGCGGAAATCCTGTCATTCACTTTACGCAGTGGGCAACACACTCTTCCCTTCCCTAGAGCTCTCTCTGTCAACTACCGTTAGTTCGGTGAAAGTAGGCGGGATGAGCGACTTCTAACTATAGATGAGGCTGGGACCGTTCTCGAAGAGCGTACATCTTTTTCGGTACGCCTGCTTGCGCCTCGGACTTGGAGAGAAAGATCTAACGAGCCACAAAGCAGGCCCTCAAGAACAGCCATCGTGATTGCATACGCAGAACCCTCGTGGCTTCAAGTGAGTTAACTAGCCACTTGCTTAGTTACCTAGTCATCGCGATGGTGCAAGACTATGCTGGGGTATGACCGAGGACAGCGAGGTGCACATCCCTGACCAGAATACTACCGCGACTGGCAATCCTCACCTTCCTGTGGGACCGTCCGCTCTTTATGAACGTATGATATGGGAAGCCCGTGTTTTTTAAACTCCTCATGGTCAATGAGCCCAGTCCCGTTTGCGGCCAGCCCTGGGGCCTGGTAGCGAGCTAGTCAACTTACCAGCCAAAAATTGCGTTTCTCAGCCTTGCCCCGAGTTGAGCTAGGTATTGATACTCACTGGCCAAGAGCCCTGACAGGATCTCATTTGGACATATTTTCTCCGTACGGGTTTTACAAAGAACAGCAACTGGAGTATCCCTACCGCCATGTGAGTCTAGTAAGACCAAGGCAACCTCAGCACATGTAACCTGCATATTTTAGTATCGACATGGACCGCATGAAGACGACAGCTTGCAAGGGTTCATGATCCCAGCACCACTCACTCCTTGTCCGTTAGTATGCACAATTTATTCAGCTGCATGAATACGGTGACACACTCAAAACACGCCCGTCCCACAGTGTATCGGCTCCTACAGCCTCGTGGGGCCCTACGGTTCAACCTTGTCCATTGTCCAGTTTCTTTCTTATTAAAATGACACTCCTGCTTGCCAACCTCTCGTTAGGAAAGTGTTAGGCGGTTTAGCTGCTGGATCTATTCGTATGTCCAGGCTCGTTGTTTTCCTCGTTGGCTGCTCAGGTTGATTAAAAGGCCTTGCTCCGCAGGAGTGTCAACCAACTGGCCTGCTGGTCGTTACTGCAGCCCTTCTTGCTCGCGATGGCAGATCTGTCGAAGATTCCCATTGCTCCCAACCCGAATGGCGGGCCACCCAACTTTGCTGACCCGCCATCCTTGGAGTCGACCGTCTTGTCGCTGGGCCTGGCGCTCATATGTATTAGCATGGCGTGTTTGACGTTACGGCTGCTCTCTAACTACCAACGAACGAGCAAGTTTCGTTTGGACGACTGTATGTGCATGGCAACAGATGTTCTGATTTATGGCGAAGGGTCCAGCCTTGCGGGCTGAGTGTTGCTGCTAACATGATGCGCTGCCAGATCTGTGTATATTCGGGGAGATAGCCGGCGTTGGATTCTGGGGCATAGTTTATTCCGGTATGTGAATTGAGCATTCTTCGTTATGTCGCCTTTTGAAAGAACCCCGACTGATGGTAGCTCAGTTGCCCGAGATGGAAATGCAAAGCACTCGTGGGATGCTCCAATGAGTATAGTCACAGCATCTTTCATAAAAGTGAGTCCACTGGACCATCATCAACAGGCTGAACTCATCGCATCAGCGACTTAAATCTAACTGGCGTAGAGACATTTTGCGTCGCAAATGCTTAGCTATCCAGCCTTGTGTGCGACCAAGGCTGCTGTCTTAGCTCTTTATATCCGAGTATTCGACAACTCACGATGGATGCGTCGAACATGTTATGTCCTCATGGTCTTGATATTCCTGGCATATGGAGTCAACATCGTCTTGGTGATCGTGTACTGCCTCCCGCGAAAAGGTGCGCCGTGGGATACCGCCGTCCTTGATAGGTGTGGTGATCCTGGAATTCTTGCTATCTCTTTCGGCGCCTTTTCAGTCTTGTCGAACATCATTCTGTTTGCCTTACCGTTTCCGATTATCCTAAGCCAACTTCTCTGTCCCATGAAGATAATTGGTCTAACAGGAGTATATCTTGTTGGAATATCGTAAGTTCAACAATAGCCATAAACTAATCCCTGTGATCTCAAACTGACAAGTGGCAGGACAATTGTCACAAGTATAATGGCACTGCGTTATCGAGTCAAGACGTTTCTTGGGGAGGATCAACTTTGGAATGGATTTACTGTTACCATCACAACGTACTATTAACCCCGGAGATCATTTTAATGATAGAGTCTCTCGGAACGCTAACAGCACACTAGGTTCGCCGAAATATTTGGAACGGTTTGCGTCAGCTGTGCTCCCGCCCTGTACGCCTTTTCTATGAACTTTGTGCAGAAGAGCGACCTATATCCAAGCCGTCGACCGAGGCCCTTATCTTCCAAGAAAAGGACAAAAACGGACAACTCCTCTGCGGACGGGAACAAGTTCGACTCCATGTCCAACTTGAAGGTTCACCACGATTGGACGGATAAGTGCGCGATGAGCCACGGCGTAAGGTCAGGCCCGCTGACAAGGATATATTCCACAGTCAACCCATCATCAACTTACATCCCGATGACGAATGGCATAGCCAAATCAACGCGCATCGACCAGTCCTCGACGATAGTCGATCCCAACGCGAGCACGCACCCGCAGAGCTGGCCGGAAAAGATGTGACCAATCAATACTAATAATTAGTCGATACCTATATGATTAAATGGCGTTTGTTTCCTTGGGAAAAGGCTGGGTAAAGGGGTATCAGGCGCTCGGATGGATGTATCTGATAACTTGTATGTATATAACTAACTAGCTGTGTTAATTCAACACCAGCACTTTTGAAGTCTCTCAGAGCATTTGTCGATTCACTATGGGCTAGTCAACTCAATCAAGGGCAGCCGCCTCCACATCCATCCTGGCTAACCATCGCAACCTGCGTTGAGCAAATTTTGCTGGTTTTTTTTAATGCATCATGTGACTTCACATTCACTCGCTGACTAAGACGCGTGCACATGACTTCGTCGGGCCTTATCGATAAGCACCTCGACCTCCGCCCGACGAAGCGACTTCATGCGTCTTCCTGGCTTTTCCTCTTCTCAAGGTTGCTGCAGACACCTCCACGCTCCTCACGCCTCCTAACAAGCTCTCCAGCGTAACCATAAACGCTGTGTTGGCTCTGCTGCCACGCCCGAAATAGCTGCAACAGCTCCTTGCAAGCTGCCCTGTGACCCCGAGACTCCAACGACCCCGCTAGCACCTTCTCCCTCCCGTGACAAGGTCGAACAACTGTGTAGCTGTTCACCAGAATCGTGAAAAACTGTCTGACCTTCCTCTTCTGCCCCGATTTGAGCTGTAGAACCGTCGAAAGCAGCTTTCACTATCCACTGAAACTCTGATACGTTGACTCGCCACGTTCACCGCCTACACCCGGCAAGATGAGCAGCCCAAAGCGAAGAATTGAGACAGATGTAGGTCCCTGAAAAAGCCGATATATACCTTTGCTACCAGGGAAGAAGTTAGACTGACTGGGTGGCTGTTTTGTTTGCTGGGTAATTATAGGTTATGAAGTAAGTCTGCGTTTTCCCCTGACTAGCAAACTTCGTGCTTCATTTTGCTGACTTGACGTAGGATGTATGGCTTCCTTACTTTCCACCAAAACCCAAGTTCAGGGATACGCAGATTGCTTCTAGTATTGCCATGCTATATAGCAATCGGTTGAAGAGCTTCTCCTTGACAACCTAGATACTAACGTGGACATTTAGGTTGATGAGTGACTATGAAGTAACATTAGTCAACGACAACAGTAAGTTGTATTCAAGAGACCTTGAAATAAGACCGTGGAGGCTAATCTTTCTCTTCTATTATTTAGTGTCCGTGGTATTCCCCGTTAGGCATAGTTTGGATACTGGTGAAATTGATATCTAACCGCCGAGAACGCTTTAGGCAAGAGTTCTACGTACGATTCAAAGGGCCGGAAGAGAGTACGTTCTCCAATATGGACATGATATATTTTTACTTGCTGCTTACGAATAATAGCTCCATTTGCTGGTGGGATTTGGAAAGTGCACGTCGAACTGCCTGACCAATACCCGTACAAAAGCCCGAGCATCGGCTTCGTAAACCGGATCTACCACCCGAATATCGATGAACTGTAAGATCACCATTCTGTACTATCTGGTATTTTGCTAACATGCGCTTTAGGTCTGGATCAGTGTGTCTGGACGTTATCAACCAAACCTGGTCGCCGATGTACGACATGATCAACATATTTGAGGTCTTTCTCCCACAGTTACTTCGATACCCCAACCCATCAGATCCATTGAACGGTGATGCTGCTGCCGTTCTTTTGCGTGATCCCAAGAAATATGACGCCAAAGTTAGGGGTAAGTCTTGGCTCTAGAGTAAATACTTGCTTTCAACTAGTTGAAGATACTAAAAACAACAAACTCTTAAGAATACGTCACCAAGTATGCCAGCAAAGATGCTGCGGATGATGGCGGAGAAGACACAGAGGATGACGGCGAGATGAGCTCGGTGGGCAGCTACGAGTCTGGCGGTGAAGAGCCCGCTGGTGAGATGGACGATGTCTGAGCACCGCTATCCCGTTCTTGCACACCCTTCGGCGTATATTGTCTTTCTTCCTCCCATCAGTCCTGTTTTCCCCTTTGGATATATCAAGTATAACTCGGCGTTTTAGCGGTATTCACATCAACTCTGAAATGGAGTTCTATTGCCTGTTGAGCCTCTTCGCTGGGAGCATTGCGTGTATGGTGCTCGGATTTCTTTTGTCTGCTTTCTTCTGTCCATGGAGCCAAGGGCGACAGATCAAAGCCGGACAGTGAAGCTTGTCTATACTTCTTTGATTCTGCCTCGACTGTTGACTTCCAGCTGTCCCTATTGCTACTATTCAACTAGTCTATTTCATTAGAATCTGGTATCTCCCCTATATCCGTACTATATCGTCCACGCCTTGAGGTATATATCTATATCTATATACACATAGATTCTCAACGACACCATAATATCAACTCCAGCTTTCATCCCGCTTACACGCTCCGCGGTGTAACACCCGATGTTTAGGCAGAACTCCATCCTTGAATGGAATCTGCCATGCAATTGTCTGTATATTACTTGGATACACAGTGAAGTGACCCCTTTCACTGACATCCGCCGTATCCGCAGCAATGATGGCTCCATTAGCACCTCCCCGTATCCATGCTTCTTCCGTCCTGTTAGGAAGCGTAATATGCGCCACACCAGAGACAAATATTACCCATCTAGAGGACATCTTAACAATCTTGCCCTAACAAAGTAACTATAGTATGGCATATCTTACTGTGCAACAGGAGCGTTGTGTAAGCCACCGTCAAAATTCGGTGGAAGGACAGAGTACTTTGCTTCCCCTATGAGACCATCTAGGGGTAAAACTGCGGTACCCTTAGTACCTGGATCGTCTGAGACGTCGAATCTGCGCTCAAGTTGCCAGCATTCTAGCGTTGATTGGCCGTTCTCTCCTGTCAGGGTAGTTATATTCAGCGTCCCTGGGACTTTGGTCTCTGGTATCGTAGCATATGCCAGGAGTGGATATACGGTAAGACTCGATAATATGGATAGGAATGGCTTCATGATTCTTCGCAGATTTCAGATAGGTATAAGGATATAAGTTTTGCCTGAAGCGTATAGTTAGAGGATGGTGCGGTTATATAAACGTTGAATAGCCCCTGAGATGGGATAGCCTACTGCGTCGGAGCATCATCGCCGATAGAAAGGCTACCAGGATGCATCCTTCAGACAGTAGGCGACGGTTGAGCTGAAGAGATACCCGAGTAACTAAAGTAGTTAACAAGCTATTCAGCCATCTGGATGAAACCCTGATGCCGATCTCAACGCCGCTGTCGTCATTAGTTTATAGTGGAGAGATCTTCGCTGATAAAGTATAACCAACGAGATGTCCATTTGATAGCCACCATAACTATGTTGTGCTTAAAGAGTTATGATAAATATGTTCTGCTATGCTTTCTCGGAGAAATTCTTTTTGCACGGTTTGTTATTTTTTGAATTTCGGAACAAAAAGGGGGGCTAATCTATCATACATACCTGGACACCTGCGGGTTTAGCAGAGCCCATTCACTTCGCCGAACAGTGTTTTTCAAAGCCCAAGAACAAGGGATGAAAATGGGAGGAGAGAGAAAGGAAATCGTGTTGGAATATGACTAAGTTTGGGAACCAGTCGGGTTGTACTGGTGCCAGATAGAGGGGGTAAGGTGATGCGGCGGAGGTAGATATCCAGCTTGCCATCCTTGTGTTTTCAATGCAAAAAAGGAGGAGAGGAAACAAAGAAAAGCTCTAGAAGTAGGAAATAAGAAGCGAAGGAAAGTAGAAGTAATATCGACTAGAAAGGAAAAGGCAAGGTTCTGTGACAGGATAAGGATATCTAGAAAGAAAAGCGAAAAGCGGCTGGCCGGGTAGTGTGCGTATGTATGAACGGAAAGTCATATGTTTGGTCGTCATGAAAACCGAGGGAAGATTCGAGAGGCGTATCCTTGTGGATCGTAATGGTGATTGGGGGTGAAGTTATGAAGTAGAGTGATCATGTCGTGGGCCGAGTATGCACGAATGGATCATTTGACCTTTAACACGCCAAAGACGTCTACCTCGTCCTTTTGGCTGTCGTCCAGGTTCAAGGCGGGCCTGGTCTTCTTTCCTTTTCTCGTGCTCATCACGACCTCACCCCAGTGTTTGGGCACGGCAGAAAGGTTGACGTTATGAGGGTAGTCTGGGTTTCGGTATGACACATATCTCATCCCTGCGAATTCGCCGGGCATAGGGGATGAGGATTGCCGTGAAGATTGAGATCTCTGAGATGCTCTGGGAGGGGACTGAGTCGAATTATATGTATCGGCTTTGAAGGTAGCCTGGGTGATGGTTGCTTCTGAACTTGGGATTCGGGACGCTTGAGCACTGCTCTGACCCGAGGGCACGAATGGCTGAGACTGGATGGCCCAGATATCAACGACAGAACTGGAAGTTGGGTTACCCTGTTAGCTATACTATGCCCATATCAAGAGGTCTTCTTGTCGGGTGGAGTCCCTTACTCTGACGCTCGCTGGCAGATGGCCTCGAGAGCCTCCCTCTCACGCTTCAACGTCTCAAGCTCCGGGCCCGGCGGAGGGCCCTGGACAGTCCCGTAGTTGAATCCGGCCTGATATATGTCTTCATCTAGCAAGCGCGAGGACTCGGACTGTGATATATCGCAATGCGACGGGCTACCAGTCAGTAAACGCTCTCCTACAATGCGCCCCAGCCACCGGCGGGCAGATGACATACCTCAGTCCTCTCCTGCCCATGCAGGCACGACAAACAGGCACCCATCGGCAAAGGGTATGACAGAGGTACTGCGCAGATATATTAAGACGGTAGCGATCGGTAGGTAGCGACCAGAGGTGGGCCGTTCAATAGTGATGTCAAAGTCGAGGGCGGGTGGTCTTCACGAACAGCGGCAGCCGGGCAAATAGGCCTGAGGAGAAGCCCATTGAGCGACCAGGAAACACAAGCATCGGGCAGCCAGCGGGGGAGCAGAGAAACGGCGGGCCTGTTCCTTATTAGTTACTCGCTATTCCATCATCCCTTCGACTTCGTCTTCGCCTGCAGCGACTTTTGTTTTTTTTTTTCCTGCTCTGCTTCTTCCTTGCAGCCGAAGTTGAGCTGGCAAGTCGCTGCTGACCAATCAGCCCCCGGCACTTGCAGCGTCAACTCGTTATCTTCGCCCTGCAGTGAGACTCGCGACGGTTGACGAACACATCCTGACTTGCAGCGGCGGGACAAGAGGACGGCAGCGCTGGAGCAGGCTCAGGGTCTGCGCAGTCGAGGACGGCGACCCTGCTGGCAGCCCCGAAATCAAGGAAGAAAAGCAGCGAAACGCACCATGTTCGCGTTACCAAGTGCCAAACGGTAGTTAAAATGCCCTTGTCGCACAGCTTCTTCCAGGCGTGCGCACACACGCACTTCAGCAGATTGCAGCGCTTCTAACTAGAGTTCTAGGGTCTGCCGTGATGATTTGAAGTCCCCCGAGTCGTCTCGGGCTTCGTCGCCCGAGAGTTCGGCTGCTACGTACGCCGCCACGGCGCTGGAGAAGGCCTTCTCGTCCTTTGAGATGGTCAATTCAAAGCTGCCCACGGCCTCTGAGGGATTGGCACAGGAGAACACTGGGATGGGCGAGGACGCGGAAGAGGAAGAACAGGAGTTTGAGTTCCGGCTCTTCAGCTCTGTGTCTACCAGGAAGACTGCGGACGAATCTCGATCGAGGACAGAGGGACACGACGGCAGTGGTTTGGGAGGAGTCCAAAAATTAAAGATACGGTTACGGTCTCCTTCGCCATCAGCACGCCCGCCGGGGGATGGCGGCTTCGTCGTGCCATTTCGAGGATGGGACTACTACTTTTCCAATCCGGAGCTGGTTATGCGAGCCGTGGGGGACACCTCGTGGCAGAGAGGAGCCAAGGACAAAAATACATCGAAGCAACTTGATACGTTGAGATATACGTTTAGAGATACAGCTGTGGACGGGGAGACTATCCTTGCTCGTGCTGCTTCGGTGACTTGGGTATGTACTTTTTTTCTTTTTGGCTATTCGAATCTCTCCCCTACAAGTTTTACTAACAGCTCTTAGCCTGGTTGCCATCTTCCATGGAGAGTCGCACATATTCCAGGACCGAAGATAAAGTCGGCTTCGAGTGCGACGCCTACTACCAAGTCGGAATCTTCTTTATCCAAGAAAAAGAAGAAGCCCGGCAAGAAGAGACGGATAGCACTACGAAAGCGGGTTATCATTAAAAAGATGGCTGAAGAAACTGAGAAGGAAAAACGAAATCGGAAGAACCGGGAGAGAAAAGTAAAGAGGAGACAGAAGGAGAGAGAGAAGAAAGCTGCGGCCAGAGCAGCTGCAGGAGAGGGTGAGCCCACGGCCCAAGTGGCTTCTGATACCACTGCTACCGCTGGGGTGACGATTGATAAGTCGTGAGCGACAGCTACTACTAATACTGTCGGAATATGATATATTAACTATATAAACCAAGGCAAGCCGAATAGTCACACCTCGCTGATATATCAACTGTACTAAACGTCATATTAACGATATAATATATTAGGAGAGAAGAAAAGAAAGAGAAACAGGAGAAATAAAACAATCACAGGGGTATCCCAAAAGTAATTAAAAGCCCACCTCTTTGCTTTGGCCGATATCAAAGCCTCCATAACCTCATTTTATGACCATAGGGTTAAAGAGAAGTCATACTGAACGTTAGGCTCTATTCGGAAAAACGGTTATTGGTCGCAAAGGAAACTGTCCAAGCTTACTTGGCGGCGGCAGCTTCGGTGGTAGGAGCGGCTGTTTCAGCCGGCTTGACCTCCTCGGTGGCCTCTGCGGCGGGAGCTGGGGTGGGTTCTGCGGCCTTGGTTGCGTCTGTGGTGGTGGGAGTTGGCTCAGCGGGCTTCTCGACTTCGGGGGCTGGAGCTGGAGCTGGAGCTGGAGCTGGGGCGGTGGTGGTAGTATCAGGCGCGGCTGGAGTCTCTGCCGCCTTCTTCTCTACTTCGGCCTCAGTGGTAGCTGGTGCAGGTGCAGGTGCAGGTGCAGTCGGTGCAGGCTCTGGCGCCGGTGTCTCAGGGGTGACCTTGTCCTTGTTTGCTATGTCGGTGTTAGCAAAAAAAAAAAAAAAAAAAAAAAAAAAAAAAAAAAAGGAAAAGAAAAAGAAAAAGAAAAAATGTGTTCAGCTACGTCTTTCACCTGCGTGTGTGTTCATATGCATACCATCTTCAGTTGTGGAGGGTTCCTCCTGGGCTCCCTCTGGCTTTGACTCTGCGGGGGCAGTCTCAGGGGCCTTGGTGACCTCTGGTGCTGGAGTCTGCTGAGCAGCACTTCCTTCAGTAGGGGCTGGGGCTGGAGCAGCACCTGGAGCTGGTGCTGCAGGCGTCTCTTCCGTCTTCTTGTCCTCAGGGGCAGTTGTGGTAGGTGCAGTGGTTTCCTGGTTCTGCTTCCTGTTCTTGAGACGGCCAAGGAAGTTCCTCAAGCCCTTCTTCAGCTGGTTAATCGCATCTGGGGCTGCGAGGAGTTAGTCTTGTCCACTTCCAAAGTCCCTTCCAGGGCGTCTACTTGATCATCAAGATACTTACGGACACCTGGCATCTTGAACGGGCTTGGTCCGGTTTAAGGGGCTGCCCTGATAGATCTATAACGGCGAGTAGACGTTGGCGCGGGGAGCTCCCTTCGAGTAGACAGGATGCTTCTGCTGGCTGGCAACGAGTCTGCAGTGGTGCAAGGCGTGGTCCTGAGCTAGTTGCGCGCCTGAAGTCGAAGCTGATCTCCAACACCTTGTTCGTCCGTCGTTCTCAACGTCTCCTCAAGCGAGAAAAAACGCGGCAAAGAAAAAGGTGAAACGCCGAGCACGGGCCATAATAAACACCATGCCACGTGATCCGCCCTTTGAACCTTAAAGGGGTTACTGTTACGGAGTGTGTCTTACTTATTTTGTTGATTTTTATATCTGTCTCTACTTTGTCTTTTGCCGAGTTGTCTACATTGCTACAGAGGCAAATCTACCGTTTGGACGTCGTGACAGCTATTGTATCAAATATCGACTAACTTCATCTCCATTTAATTAGCATGGAGAACGGAGTTTGTGGAGAAACGGAGAATGCTTGATTGTCGGATAAAGGGATAAAGGGCCGTCTCTCTGTTGCTGGAGATGGAACCTTGGAAGAAGGTGTAGTCTTCCACTAGTGGGTATTAGCATCTAGCAGGCTGTCCGGTAAGGCCATCTTGACTGGAATGTTGCCTGACAATCCATACAAACTCTTCGAATCCTTCAGCCAGTGGAATAAACAGCTACCGCAGCCACTCATAGCGCCAAAGGGATTAATTTCAACAAGCTGCGTTGATCCATCAGGCACGCTCAAAACATCAAAAGTAAAGCCCTCCCGCTCCATCATCTCGTGTACAAGCACATCTGGCAGGTGGCGTGCGGTCTCCATAATCCTGCTGTGAATCTGCAGGGAGTCAAGGTGCACCCGATTGGCCACCCTGACTGCATCTTCCATGGTGTTGACTGAAAACGGGCTTGTCCACCTATATTGTGATATGGCAGCAATGCTATTTCCTGGTGGTGGACAGAAGACTCGAAACTCGCGCGAGGGGTCCATCTGCTCGTTATACGGAACGAGATAAACCACAGGCTTGCTCACGCCGTCCTCGAGGGTGTCCAAAATGGCCCGCCTTCCTCTCATAGAAGTACACAGCTGCCTAATAAGATCGTGTACGCTTGTAATGGGTTTCATGCCGTTCTCACCGTCCTTGGTACTGCAGCTGTCTAGTCGGAGGAACCACTTCTGATGACGACCAAATATTTCCTCGGTCTTCACACCGGCCAATGACTGCTTTGGAAACATTTCAACCAGGCCATTGAAGATAGACGGTCGAGAAGACGTCCTTGCGACCCAGACCTGATACATTTCTGTCGTCTCAAAGGCCAGGTAGCGAGGTAGCTCGAATGTGTGCCATTCTTCTGCGCCTTGGCTAGACATTATCAACGACACCCAATGTTGGTATAATGTTGAGAAGAGGCCTGGCTTGATGTGCTTGAGGTTTTGTGTCTCCCGTACCAGCGCGTTAATATCTTCGAACGAGTGGCCGTGGGTATTGAACTTGTCTGTGTCTGCCCAAGCCTCCTTTGCTTCCTGCAGAGCAGTCTGCACCTCGCTGAATGGAATAGTTACCAGCTCCATGATAGTGGGTGTAATCTGTGCATATACTTGCTATTAACTGTCAAGTAACAGCCTAAATCCACTGTTGGATTTTACCAGAAGGCAGAGCATTGTTAAGTCTGGGAAAGGATGACCATGGACGTTCTCTTTCCATTTCCATGTTTCGCGCAACAAAGTAAAATAAACAAAGGAAAGTCTCCCAGTTGAGTTCTAGTCTAACAGCTTTGGAGCGCTCTTTGCTCCCAATCTCCTGTTCACGGGTCATAGGCTTTAAAAAAAAAAAAAAAAAAAAAGGAAAAGGCTGTCAGAAAAGCTTAGGATGCCAGTCACAGCCCAGGCTCAAGCGAAGAGACCACCGTATTCACAGCAGGCCCAATATCGCCACATCTCAACATCAGCGGGGTCTGATGTTTATAAGCGATATAAATAATATATACCCTCTCGTCTCGCGCTCTACATTATATAGCCTTGAAAACGCTCCGACTTCTGGTGGTCACTTTTTGATACGCACACGTGACGTTGGCTGCGGGCGGGATGTCCCATCCCTGCCAAGGTTCAGTCTCCACCCTGAGCCGTGACTTTATTTTTGTTTTCTGAAGGTTTGATTGGACAACTCGGTTCAAGCCCATCAATTCTATTGGCTAACTTCAGATGATCTGAGCCAAGAAACGGAGCCGCGGAAGCGAGGTTTTGCCGACAGCCGACATTTCCGGACCCATGGATCCCCGGGCCGTCTCCTTGAAATGCTCCCAGTCCCAGGTATTACTGTCGTGTTCTCCCAAGGCGGTCACAACAATTTGTTTCATCATAGGCGACGTTGGCGGCATGGTTGCATTACTCCCACCGAGTCTTGGAAAATTCCGTTACTTAATGCTATCACATACGAGGTCTCCGCTTTAGGTCCATGAAGCCGCGGAGTATAAGCTCTATCCGCAGTACATGACCTGCGAAACTAATCAACAACCTCTCTTTTGTGGCTACATTTAACCTCCTGTCGGAATGCAGGGCGTCCGGAATATTCAATGGGAGGCTTGCATTCTCAAAAGTTTCCATTGGGGAGAATGCTGAGTGCCAGCATTGGAGCATTTTCAGTCTATAACACTCCTTGTACACAAGGAGATATGGCCAAGGCACCTATAACGGAGGTAGATTTGACCGAGAACTTTTAAAATAGCCGGAATGCGTCGGATCCACGGAGACTCGAAGTTCCCGCCCTGGGTCTACGTTCTTAACATTGTTCCGCTGCAGGCAGCAAACGGGCCATCTGGTGGAAAATATCACCAGGGGTTTTGAGCTGACGAAGGCCTGCAGGTGGTTATAAAATCTGCCTGTCTCCCGCCGTCTATTGCCCCTATAGCTCATTTTCCTTCGCTACTTCCATACGCCCGACAGCTTTATCTTACGATCCATCACGGCTTACGGCCTCTTCAAGAACTATATATTCACTTTGAATACCAAACGTTCCGCCAACGAAATATCCAACAATGGAGCGCGTCTATCTTATTACCCACCCTCGCTCTGCTTCTAATCTGCTTGTCCAGATTCTGGGATTGGAAGAGCAGCCAATGGTCAAAGCTCGCCCGCATGCTGGCTACTATTTCCTGGAGACCCTCATGTTCCTTGGTGAAAAGGGTCTTCGAGCTAAGCATGTCGACGAGTGGACCGAAGAAGAAAAAGCCCAGGCCCATGCCATGTACAACAAGGGGTATGATGCAATGATGAAGGATGTTGCCGAGTCAAAGGCTGCCGGCAGAATCTCTGTTGTCAAGGAGCACGCCAACATTCTCCTCGAGCCCAGCAGCCAGACCAAATTTATGTTCAAGACCAACGACGTTAAAGAAGCACCACTTACCCTCGACGTCCCCCAGGGTTCCGAAATTGTCCGTACCCCGGGAAATCAAACCATCTTCTCTGATGAATTCCTCCTTACCTGGAAGCCGGTCTTCCTCATCCGCCACCCCGCTCTCATGTTCCCATCCTTCTACCGATGCATGGATGACTTCAGAAAGATGAAGAAGGAAGATATCGGCACTACCGCCTCCCTCGAGGCTGGCAAGCCTGATCTACCCATTTACATGAGCCTGCACAACATTCGCTCCATGTTTGACTGGTACAGCGAAAAGCTCCAGCAGACTGGATCATCTTCCACCGCCCAGCCCTGGCCCATCGTCATCGATGCAGATGATGTCATGGCCGATGAAACTGTTGTCCAGAAGCTGGCTGATATTATCGGACTGGACCGCAACCACCTGAAGTTCACTTGGGATCCCGTCAGCGAAGAGCAGTCCAAGAAGTACGACCCCATGGCTAAGCGTATGCTGTCTTCTCTCAACGCCTCGAACGGTATCATGAAGGACAAGCTTGCTGCCAACATCGATATCGAAGCTGAAGCCCCCAAGTGGAAGGCTGAGTTCGGTGAGATCGATGGAGCTAAAGTATACAAATGGGTTAAGGAAGCAATGCCCGACTACGAATACCTGAAGTCTCGCCGTCTCACCGCATAGATGTGTTGATCACCAGCGGTTAACCCAATAATGCTCCCTTCCTCCTTCCACGTTATGATTCTTTATTTGTATAGAGTGCATTTGTTTTATTCCCATTTCAAAATATAGAAAGGAAAAAAAATTTTTTTGTTTAATCTTGAGTTAGTACATAATGAAATATATACCTATATATATATCCGCGGTGTTGGACTGCAAACCTGATGGAATTCTACCGTTATCGAGGTAAGTCTCACCTTGACACGGAGAGACGAGACCCTTTTTACCGTTCCCAAAGAGCCCCATAGCCCAGCTAAATGGTGTACATAGATCAACTTAAGATGCGGTTAAGGATCAAGCCTTGACTATTTCTTCTCAATAAACTTCTACATCCCATTAAAGAGCATGCAAAATAGCAGAATAATTGGGTAACCCGGCTTCAACTCTTCTGCTAAGAGCCTAACCTTGTCCATACAGTGAGGCTGGACCCAATAGCAGGAACATCCAGCCCCGCCCGTGCACCAAGCCTGGGAGAAGCCCCGTTAGTTGGCCTTCTGTGGTGATTTGTAATGTCTTTCAAGCCATTAGTACAATGTATGCGTTTTGATAGGATTGGGGAGAGTATGCAAATACAGATTCACATGGATACTTGCGACAAGTTGAGTTGTATAGATCTGGAGGTCAATATAAATATTCAAACATCAGCCTTGGGGGTAATATGTAGGTAAACCATACACCAGAACTACCATACATAGCACAGATATTACCGTCCAATACAAAAAGTCAATCTATCAGCGACTATGTTCGAGCTTTTGAGCAAAGTCAGCCCTCTAAACAACCTTGTTCTCTTCGTGTTTGGCTACGCCGTGGTAGCAGGATTTGTCCATCTGCTTCAATCGATGAAACCATCTCCGCCCGAAGATCCGTACGAAGATAGCTCGAATGAAGCACGAGAAGGAATGAATGTAAGTATCCCGAAGAGACGAGTATTCTGATTGTTGGCTAATAGGGGTGATGCCAGGGGACACTCTTATGATAAACGCATAACTACCATACTCCTGTACGCGGGGTACCTGTGATACTCTATTCGAAGACTCTAAGCATTTTAGAACTAACCGGCTACCTGATATGTGGGACAAGGAGTATTGTTGGTTGTGGGATGGGGTCATTATTCAAGTTAAATGAGTTAGGGAGTTAGGAAATCCGTGTGTGGGCAACAGGAATTGTATCTGCATAGCTACCTGCTGGCAAAGTAGCCAATATACAATTCATTTCTATGTGATATCCAAACTTGTATACACCTGGCAACCCAACTAAACAGGGAGTTAACTAGACTGTTTATCATCTCCAGTTTGGAGATGCACTTACTTGGCCCCGTTTGCATTTATAACTAGATGATTAAATAAACCACCGGGCCAAAAGAAGGTGCGAAACAGTGTTAACTAAATGGTAGCTTATTCTATTTTAAAGCTAGCAGCTGTTATGCTCCACAGTTGACATCATTAGCACATTGCTTTTCTAGAAGTTAAACTAGGATGAATAGACATCTACAATAAAGACTGGAGGAAGAGATAAGAGTTGGTCAAGGAGCGTTGAATAAGTCTAGTCTATAACATAATCAGGCATTCAATATTATTAAGGAGTGATATTATCCCGGAGGCCTTCTAGCCTCCATCATCGGTAAACATATTCTTTCACAGCAGAGGCACACCGGCTGCTAAGTTCTTAAGCCTTGAATCCACAGTCGGTTGGCAGAGCATCTTCGAAGGTGACGTCGATTCTGCCGAGTTGTCCGGCCTGGTTGTTGGTAAGAGTGTCCATTGCAGCCTTGGCGACGTTGAAGCCATCGGCCTTGTCGATGGAGGTAACGAAGATAGATTTGTTGAGGACAGGCCAAGTGACCTTGAAGCACTTGCCGCAGTTGGCGCTGTTGTATCCCTCGACGGCAAAGGAGCCACCAATGTTGGGGAAGTTGGGGAGAGAACCGGCGGTGGTGAAACCCTTGGTGATAAGGCCGTTGGTGCCATCAGAGCAGGTTACCTGAGTAAGACTGAGGCCGGCATTGTCGTACTTTGGGTCGTAGGAGAGGGAAACGGTGCCGCTGATGGCAGCAGCAGAAGAGAGAGAGACCATGAGGCCGAGAGTAGCTGGGATAGTGAACTTCATTTTGGCTGGTGGGCTGGTTTGAACTTGGGTTTGTTCGAGAAGTGGGTTTGTTTGTAAGAGTTGGGTTGGTAGAAGTAGATTGATTGCGACTTGTCTTTGTTCTTCTTGGAGCTGTGTTTTCTGATGGAGAGAAGAGGGAAAAAGCTCGAGACGGTGGTTACCTACCTGGGGTTTATATAACTTTTCTTCACGGCTATGTTGACAATCACACTGAGGGTTGAACACGGTCTTTCAAGGACTCCGTTGTCTTTGGAGGCAGCTACCTCGCATATGCAAGGTGATCTGCACTGAGGGATCCATGGCTGGAAGCTACCAGCAAACGCCTTCATGGCCTGCAAGCCTGCAGGTTACATTCTGGGAGCTCTTCAATGCACGGCCGGTTGAGCCCGTGGTTCCCGAAGGCTTTCGATGCGGGGCAGGGCAATGGAAAGCGACATGTATGGAGTACATTATGAAACATTTACAATCAGGAAGCATGTACAAGGTGTTCACAGATCAGGTGAGACACCTTTGCATCCAAAAAGACTTTGTATGCTGTCATCGAGTGTGTTCCGGTATTGTCCCGTATACTCATGTAGAAAAGCGGCGGGTACAACCACCACAGGGTACATGCTTGCGGCGTGCATGCTCATCGCGGAGGAAGAGAGACATGAATCCATCATGTCGCAGCAAAGCCCCAGTAGAGCCATAACCGTGAGCCATCATCTCCTCCTTCAGCCAAGGTAGCATTGCCAGCCATCTGTACAGCGGGGGGCTCGCGTTGTGCAAGAGCTGGAGGGAAAAGCAAAGAAGCAAGCTCCAGATCCAGTGACACGGTAGCTGCGAGCTTTCGATGAAGATGAGAGGGACGAGCTTGCTCTCATTCTGTGATATGATCGGCACAGGTATGGATCTGCATCGCTTGATGCTCTATATTAAGCAGGCTTTGTCTTGCTAGCGTGCAGATGTCTCACTCTCTCATCATCCTCTGCTGCACTGACTATCGGCTGAGGGCATCCGCCTGCGCCCGTCAGGTTACATCTCGACCAGAAGAAAGCTGGACAGACCTGACATCTTCTGACAGTTTATCCGCGGCGGCGCTGCCCCTAGACTGCGCTGTCAGGCTGTTGATGTTGATTTATCTCGATGTCTTTGAAGTTGTTTTTTACTCTTTTCGGCTGGTGAGCTTACCTAAGGCAACTATTCAGTCACGTGTAGGTCATGTGGTCGCTTGATCGGAGCCTCGGATGTCAATTCCCGGATGACTAAGATTTACTTATATAATCAGTATGGAAGGACAGCAAAAAATACTCCGTAGAAGGATTGGATATTATGGTCAACGCTGCTCTGGACAATTTGCAGGATGAAAGTCAATGGAACGCTGCGGCTGAGCAGATCCTGTGGTGGCCGCGTTGGTTAACTTGCAGCAGCGTGGCTCTTGCAGGTGTTCGAGAAGAGTGAGACAGGTTGCACCAAGCGGTCAGGCTGCTCGTACAGTCCCGCTGCTTCTGGGTATCAGCAGCAGCAGCCCCGGCTTACAGGATATGGCCTGTCTATTTCCGGAGAAGCAGTGCGGAAGGTAAATCTGCTCCTTACCGGGTAAGGTTATGTTGCTTCGGGAGGATTGTTACAGACCGACCACAGTAGAGGTGACGGAGCACCCTTGGTGGGAGCTGTGCAAGCAGGGACAATCCACGTACAAGGTGAGTGACTGCAGAGTCCCCCATAGAGAGGAGAGAGAAGATTGTCACAGCCGGCTAAACTGAAGCTATCAGCTGCTTGTTATTCCGTACTCTTCCTAGAGTTAGAGATAGGCGAAGAAATCCAAATTCGCTGGAGATCGGCTCATAATCAGGGCCAATTTTGCTTTTTCCTGATACGCGGAGCTGTCCCCGGTCCGTACAGCCCTCAACACACTTCACCCCACAGTTTTCCGGGCTGAAAGAGTCAGGACAACACCTAGCCGAGATGGCAATTCTCACTGTCTAAGAACAGGCAAAAACAAGAGGCAGGATCGGTCCCATCGCATTTGCTTGCGAGACGGTGAGGATGGCGACTGGCTCTCAGAACCAGCATGTTACTCACCCTCCTCCATCGGAAACCTCACCTTTACTGGGTGACAGAGCGAATGCAGAGAATGGGGTTCCTTCGGGTGAAAGTGAAGCGAACGATACTGGCCTCCCTCTGGTAGAGGAAGCCAGCTTCGGTGAGCTCTTGACGATATTGATGAGTACTTGGGTCGGTGTGTTTTTTGCAGCTCTTGGTATGTCATCTCTGTGGACCATAAGTCTTGAAATAAGAAAGAGTTATCAAAGATTTATGGACTAACTAGAGTGATCGCATCTTTGAAGATGGTACGATTGTTGCGACTATCTCGGCTCAGATATCTTCCTCGTTCAATTCACTGTCACTGATATCATGGCTTGCCACCGCATACCTGGTCTCGAGCTCTGCCTGTCAGCCGATCAGTGGCAAGCTTACCGACATCTTTTCTCGCCGAACAGGCCTTGTTATATCCAACATTCTCTTTGGAGTTGGTAATCTGATTTGCGGCCTTGCTACAGAAGAATGGGTCATGATCCTTGGACGGACTATCGCCGGAATGGGCGGAGGAGGGCTGACGGCCATATCTACATTCCTTACCTCTGACCTTGTACCTCTGCGCAAGCGAGGTATCTGGCAAGGCATTGGAAACATCTGTTTTGGAATTGGGAGTGGCCTCGGTGGTATATTCGGTGGATATGTGAACGACAACTGGGGGTGGCGGTGGGCATTCCTTATCCAGGTGCCTTTTGTTGCTGTCTCTGCTATCCTAGTGTCGATATATGTCAATGTACCCGTCAGAGTGACAGACACCTCTCGGTGGAAGAGAATTGACTTCCTCGGTGCCGGGACATTAGTCTGCGCCCTCGTTCTCTTCTTACTTGGACTTAACTCTGGCGGGAATCAGGTGCCATGGACGCACCCCTTGGTGCTCACAACCATTCCGCTCTCGGTTGTGCTGCTCGTTGCCTTTATCTACATCGAGGATAGGGTTGCGGCTGAGCCGATTATCCCTATCCGCCTCCTTATGGACCGCACTGTTCTATCCTGTTGCTTGACCAACTGGTTTGTCACAATGGCTGTATTCGCCCTCTTTATTTATATACCCGTCTTCCTCCAAGTACAAGGCTACACGACTACATTAGCTGGGACTCGCTTGGTTGCACAGGCTTTTGGTACCTCCGTCGGCTCTCTAGGATCCGGATACCTGATGCGCATGACTGGGCGCTATCTCTACTTCAACTACGGCTCCGTCGTCTTGATTGTCATCGGAATAGGATTGATATGCACCGTCAATCTCGCAACGCCGGCTGTTCCGCCTTTTGTCTACTTGTTTATATCAGGCTTAGGATACGGCGGCATGCTTACCTCCACTCTTGTGGCCATCATTGCTGCCGTGGACCATGAACACCAGGCCGTAGTTACTTCTGCCTCTTACGCCTTCCGCAGCACTGGTAGTTCGATCGGTATATCTGTCGCTTCGGCCGTGTTCCAAAATCTTCTCCGGTCAGGCCTCTGGTCTCGCCTCGGACACCTTGGCGATGCTGAAAAGATTATCCGAAAAATCACAGAGCGGTTTGGGGAGATTCGCAATCTCCCTCCTGATATAGCTGCGATTGTTCGTGACTGCTACATGGGCTCACTCCGAGCAGCTTTCTTGACTGCACTGGGACTGGCTGCTATGGGCGCCCTGGCAAGTTTGGCCATGAGAGAGCACAAGCTGCATATGAACCTGGCCAGAAAGGATTAAATAGAGTATTTGGATGGTAGATCTACATAGAGAGGACTTTGGATTCATTATATAACATCCCGTTTTTCTCCATATCAAATAGCGCCGGCTTGTGCTTTTGGTGGCAACAAGAGCAAATCTTTTTAACCCGCCCGGAAATAAACTTCCCTAAGTCCATTCCCCGTAGTTAAATTATCTGAACAACACAACTGAACGTTCAACTTCATCCGCCTTTTGAACGCCCGTCAAGCCCTTTTTGACCGACAATTATATCCTATAACAAAGGCCAATCTCCAGTGGTAGAAGGTAGGTGATCGCTGTCCTCGACCTTTTCTTTCATGCTACCCTGCCCGCTGCGACCGTGTCTTTACCGCTCGTCCATGGCGGCAAACGGCGGACAGCCTCAAACTCTCCATTTCGCATATATATATATATTAACCTTGCCTGTCATTTTCTAGGCTTTCATAGGGCAGGGCAACATCTCAGAATAGCCCATATCTCCTCTGTTGCCAGACGGAACCGAGCCCTTGCCTCCATGTCTTTGGAATGCGACTTGGGCATCCATGCGTAGCCCCTGCACCGGATGCGATGAGATAGAGGAGAGCGTCGGTCAGCCCCAGAAACGAATTACAAATATCACCACCTCGCTGGCTCTTCTGCGGGTTCTCGGCGGTTAATTCGCTAGTTATAACCAGCCATTTTGCTATAGTTAACCCCCCCGGCCAATAACAAGTAACTTGCGATCTGGACTCCCGGTCTCTCGAGATTTAACAACGTCAACGCCCACCTCAAAAAATCCCATGCAGATGGCTGTCGGGGTCAAACAAATGCTGAATGGGGAGCGCCTGGACTCCAATCCTACATCGAAGTTCGAAATTATGAGCCCTGCTCATATCAACGCCAGCCCTCGAGATGCGAACCCTTGTCACGGCGAGAAGCGTCCGGACGGTACTCGCCTCGAAGACTGCATGATGGACGGGCAGAAAGGCATACCTTCGCTTGGAAGGGCTGATAGGCACACCAAACGGGTTATTTTAGCAACCAGTACGCCGTTCGCTGACACGATTGTTCGCTCGCTATATCGAGATCCCGACGTCGAGCTTCGATTAATCGTACCGCAGGGCTTGGGTGTTGGACAAGAGGAAATGGACAATGTGGAATGCTACGAGGACGCACCGCAGCGAGTTACGGACACCACCAGTCAACCTTTGCGGGGCCAGTTCAATATGACAGCTGCAAACCTTGCGGATTGGGCAGACTTGTTGATTATAAGTCCCATGGATGCCGGAACGCTTGGGTCAATGGTTTGTGGATTAACTACGAGCCTTACACTGACGCTGTTGCGAGGCTGGGATGTTTCTAAGTCTATTATTCTTGTTCCAGGGATGACCACTCGCCAGTGGGTTGCGCCTATCACGCGAAGGCATCTGGACGATATCCAAGTCTTTTGGCCATGGGTTAAAGTGCTGCCGCCTATTCTCTCCAAGTTTGAAGCTCCTGATCGCCTCGCCGAGCTGCCGTGGGATGGGAGGGAGTCGTTTTACGATGAGATAAAAAAGGCTCTGGGATGGTCTGTGG